TATTCAATGACAGTAATACAATTAATGTAGAGTTGTGTGGATGCGAACCCTATGCCTTGCGTTATCTCGAAAATAGTACGCTTTTCGGCTCCGAAGGAACTATCCGAGTCTTGCTGTACGCATCAAAATCTTTAAGATCCAATTTGTCCCATATCAATCTACAGACCTACCACCGTTCCAGTATCGAAGCCTAGCAAGATGTTTATATCGACTTTATTTATTTTAGAAAGAAAAACAAAAGTGAAGAATACGATTCGCTATCCACCGTGAAATTCTGAATCCAACGGTACCCCATTGGTGGTATTTGAGCATGACAGGAGCTTATATTTGGTACAAAACCGATTTCGAGCCTTACTGTAATAATATATGTACGGATAAATTAATGATTTTGGAGTTCTTAGCAGTCCAGTTTTTGTTTTGTTTTTTTGGCGAAGAGACTGAAAAAAAAAAAGTTTTGTGTAATGATTTAAATACACTTCTTTTTGATTTGTTAGAGTTAAAATCTCTACGCGACGGTGTTCCTGTGACTGGCAAATCACTGACGAAGAACTAAGGGCTAAATTAATAATAATAATAATTATTATTTAAGTATTCTGGGACAAATCTCATTAGAAAAATATACAGAGATGGAAATTTGGGCTTTGGAGCCTCAGAGAATATTCACAAAATAAACAGATAGATATAATGAATAAAAAAAATGATCTTCAAACTTCAATAAAAAACAAAAAATCACAAACTAATAATTTATATACATATTTACAACATAAATTTACAATTTTACATTATTATTGGGACTGAACGGATAAGAGGTGATTGAACATGAGAATAGGGATGAGGATAAAATAATGAAAGATCTGTCGAAATATACAAATCTGAAGACCGAAAACGGGTTTTGCGGGAGTAGACAGAGGATTTGAATTGAAGGAGCTCGGAGATGTATGAAGGAAGGCGGGATTGGATGACTTGAAAGAGGAAGGATGCTAGGAAATATTTACGACGATAGGAAGGATAAAGCCACTTTAACTCTTCATAAAAATGGGAAACAGAGGCGTCTCTTGGAATCCCAAAGAACCCATTTAACAAACATTTTAGTTTCGGCTAGAGATCCCCAGAGAAGCCCCCATATAGGACAGCAATAGTCAAAGTCGGGAAATATTAAGAAAGTGATCAGGAGTTTCCGGGTTTCAAATGGAAATAGGTGGCTGAGGTAATTTAGACGTTTTAAAGTGGAAAAGGCACGCTGAGAGAGACCATCTTCTTACAGAGAGCGACTTCTCTCAGTCAATCACTGCAGAAAACTACTCGTAATTAAAAGATTTTGCGTGCGGGCGAAGAGCCGCGCTGGGCTCACTTTAATCTAAGAAGGAGAGGAGCAACTAAACCAGAAAGACTGACTTAAACTTTTAGGCAACGTGTAGCATGCGTCATTGACACATGCTACACGTTGTCTTTCCATATAACAACACAAAGCGACAAAAAATATGTCTCCTTGCCGCATGCTACAAGTTGACCTTGTTGCCTGTCGAATCCGTCATCTCTCCACATGATTCAACGTGTCGAACAGTGTCGTCGTCTATCCAACAGCCCTCTTATCGGTGCGGCTTGTTGCGGCAACATGGAGTGGACGAAAACAAAACTACTTATTTTATTGACGATTACTATTATTCTGCCGAATTATGTAATAATAAAATCGCCGAATACAAAGATATAATAATTAAAAACCATAAGTTGAAAATATTATCGGATAAATATAATTATTGTACGGTGATGCAGCTAAAAATAATTGATTGATTTATTAATCGTTAATTTATTTAAATACGAAAATATAATTGTAAGGTGATAGAGGTCAAAATTTATTATAAATTAGTCAGCATTTCATCGCGAACGCTGGAAACTTCAGCAAGAAAAGAATGGCTCATCTCCTAGCAAAAACGGGAAGTGGTTTGCTTATGAGCTACTGAATTTTTTATTGGACGTCGATGTACCCAAATCAATATTGTCAACGGCTGAGTGTTTTGGTGATACACGATGATGAAGATCAGTGATAACACGAAATACACTTGCAAGCTATCCAAATAGTCCGAGAGCCCATGAGAAAAAATCTACACTATTTGATAACAATTTCAAAAGAATTTTTTGAATATTTAGAACACCTTTATTTAAAAAATGAGAGTTTGCCAGTCGGATCTTACTTCCTGTAAAAATTATGGCTGATTTAATGAAATTGAACCAATAACTTGAGAATCGAAACGGGAAATTCTTTTTGAAAAATGTGAGAAAAGTCATTATTTTTTTAACTTATATACACTGACAGGCAAAAAATTCCACCCACTCGATTTTTTTCTTGTTTTCATCTAAAAATATTTCTGCTTTGGATTGGTCTATTGTTTTTAATGAATAAATAGGTAATCTTTTTGTTTGTTTTCAATTAGGAATGTTAATATAGAGGACAATAACCCTTAATCCTTAATTCAATGAAATGATTCTAGATTCCAATGTTTACTTTCTATGGAATCAAAATGTTTATTCAGTATCATTAGTTCAGTGCTGTTTCTTGCAGCACATTTCTTACTCTCCGGCTTTTAATTTTTTCAATATTAAGTTTAAAAATGCCTCTTAGTGCTGAGGATGTTGCGCGTGTTGTGGCACTTATTGATGATGGGCGTTCCATTAGATATGCAGCTAATGCCATCGGAGTTCCATATGAAACTTTACGAGACACTGTCAGGCGTTTTCTGGAAACTGGTTCTTACAATAGAAGGCCCGGTTCTGGACGGCCTAGGATAACAGAACCACGGGATGACCGGTTTTTCACTTTGAGAATTTTACGAAACCGGCACCTTACCGTTGTTCAAGCGATTCATCAGCTCAAAGAAGTTCAAGAAGCAAATTTCTGAACGTACCGCTCGGAGAAGATTAAATGAGTATGGACTAATGGCTTTTCGTCCAGTAAGAGGACCAGAGTTGACCAGAACTCACAGAGTAAAACGGCTGGCTTTTGCCCACATGTCGCCCGCATAGTGCAGACGTTCCTTCAACAGAACAATATTAAGGTTTTAGCCTGGCCAGCACGTTCTCCAGATTTGAACCTCATTGAGCATTTATGGGATAACCTCGGAAGACGAATAAGAGCGCGTGCAACACTTCCTGATACACTGCTGGACCTTGAAAGGGCTCTTCGGGAGGAATGGGCTATCCTCCAGCAAAGGGACATTTCCCGACTGGTGGAAAGTATGCCGAGGCGTCTTCAAGAAGTAGTGGAGGCAAGAGGAGGAATAACGTGCTACTAAAAGATGATGTAATTAATCTCTTTTAGAATAATAATGGTTCGTTTTTCAATTTTTTTTTCTCTAATCTTTCTTACCCAATCACATTTTGATTATTAAAGGTAAAAAAGATTATAAAATTCCATAAATACTAAGTATTATCTACAAATACCATGTATTATATAGAAATACAACTTTACAGAAATATTTTTAGATGAAAACATGGAAAAATCAAGTGGGTGGAATTGTTTGTCTGTCAGTGTATATTGGTTGAGACAGCATTTTGCAAATATCATCTTGCAGCTGGGCTTGGACCTTTATCAAGTCATGTGGATCGTACCTTGATCTTATGGCATTAGAAAACCTCACTATGGCCGATAAATAACGAATATACCAATGGGCGACCTGATCTGGGTTCATCGCAAGGTCCATATTCCCATTGTTAAAACGCCTGAAGCACTAGCGAGTCCAACATCTTATTTTGGGATGGAGGGGATCAGCCAAAAGGTTTTTTTTTTAAATATAACGAAAATTACGCAGGAAGAAAAAGAAAGAATGTACCTATACGAAATGGTGTTTAAATGATTCTTGAAGTTCTATTAAATGTGATTAATCACACGAACAATAATACTTTTAGAGCTCATATTTTTTTATTTTATTCATAAGACATGGTAATATTTTACCATTTCGAAAAATGGTGCTTGATTTTGAAAAACGTGTGGCAGTATTTCGATGGATAACTGACTCTCCTTCAAAGGCACAAATTTCTTCAGTGGTTGCCTTAGATCTGTTTTCCTGCAATATCTCAGAAGACCACGAATCACGATTTTTTTTAATTCTAACATTACATGTGAGCTTCAAATGTGTAAATGAGCCAATTAAGCCAACTCAAGTAACAAGGAATTCAATGATTAGTCAATAATATTGACATAAATAGTAGGAACAAAATCATTCTTATAGGATTGATCATGAGAAATAGGATTAAGGGTTCTTCATCGAGAGGGGGTTTCATGGCGCAGGGCACTTTTTGACAGGGTTTTCAATTTTTGAGGGGAACAAATTTCGATGGCGTTATGAATTTCCAAAATGAAAAGTTTCAGATTAAAAGACAAGTGGAAGCATGTGACAAGCCACATGATGCGTTATTGTAAATAATCCACGAATATTTAAATTCTACTTTCGTTAGCACTGTTTTTAACAAGAAGAAAGGAATAAAATATCTTGGAGGTAAGGTTTATGCACCATTGGCCTTGGGGAAGAGGGGGGGGTGGGCACCCCTGATTCTACCAATGAAAAACACCCGTTGACATGATTAAAATATTACAGTTCTTCATATCCTTTTTTTTTTTAATGATGAATGAATAATTACAGTTTTGAATTTAAGTAATAGGTATGTATGTCATTGAAAAAAAAATTAATGGCCAGAGGTATCATTAATCCATAATTTTTTTCCAGTATAATTATTCCAAAATCTTTACATTGTTGCAAATCAGTGTTGTTTTTTTATATCAGGTAATAAAATCAGGGGTGGTTGACACAGCACTGCCTTGCCCCAGCAATCTGATAACTGAAGTCATGAACGATAAAATAGTTACCCAGTTCCCGTCAGGATACCACAGGGGCTTTTAAATCTGACATTAATTCTTGCCCTCACCCTCTGCCCTAGGAAAACCCCCTATAGCCTAAAAGTCGAGGAAGGGAACAATAAAAAGGTAATAATATTAATCTTATTTTATAACAAAAACAATTTATTAAAAAAAATATATTTTTAACACTAAAACAATTGATAAAGCTACATTAAAATAATACTGATTAAATGTATCTTAAATCCTAGTAATAAATTTAAAATAACATTTTTTTTTTTTAAAATGCTACTTTAGAGAAAGTTGGTAAATACTTTTAAAAATTATGGCTTTGTTATTTTATTATTTATAAATGTTCAAAATTGTAACTCAATGACATTACTTCCATCTCAGGAATATAACACCATAATAAGTCTTAAAAAGTTAAGTCTTATTATATAAATAAAGCATAATTCAACAAGGAAAAAATTAAGATTTTTTGGGAAAAACAATATGATTCTTGCTGCATTTTTCTTTTTCCCATTCTTCGGCTTCTTTTTTTATTTCATCAGTAAATTCACTTTTACCTCTCGAATCTCCTGAACATAAAAATCAAAAATTATAAAATAATTTATCATTTAAAATGTAACAAATGTGTTTTAATAGGTTATCAAAAACAAGATTAATGTTAAACTTTTATAAAAATATAATACAAATGTAAAACAATAATCAGTTAAAAGTTATCTCATCATAGGAGGAAAGAAATATTTACGAAAATGTATTATTAATGAGTAATGTCAACTTCTCATTTATAACCATAATTATCAAGTTTCCTTTCCTACTAAATAATAACGGCTGCCCCAAGAGAAATTAGTAAATCCTACTCATGATAACATATTATATAATATGATAATATATTATATAATATAATTAATTTATTAATACAATTAATAATAATAAAATATATTGTATGAGAAGGAGTTGACTGTAATTGACAGGTGCAGATTTATGAATAAAAGTGAATGAAAAAAATTACAAAGATCTTCTAAACCATAAAAAGAAAGAAAAATTTTATAATATTTGTTTGATTGTACTAAGTGAAATATTGTTTATATGGATTGAATTGATAAAAAAGCATATTTATTTGTATTAATAAATCAAAGTATTCTTTTTGGCTGCATCTCTTCTAAGAAACAAACTTTAAATATCCTCTTCAGGAAAGGTCAGAGAGAAAATAAATTCCTAGAATCTCTTCCCATCTCATAGCCAGTTGTCAACACCCAGTTCTTTAAGAAAATACTCAAATTAAGCACCAGAGAACTTAAATTTTTAAGCCTATGAGTATAATTTAAGTGTACGCGTATTGTATACAGGAGTATATTTGAAGAATTACTATATTAATTCATAAATTTTAATTTCTTCATTCATGTTTCATCAATCTCCCCTCCAAAACTGACATTTCGTGTAATACAACCATATATGATATATCTTACTATTAAATACTATAGTTAAAAGAAAACCATAGCATCAATATTTTTTATTTTGATTTAAATATTCATACCTTTACGAATGAAACCTTCATCTGATTCATTCAGCCATCCATTAATTTTTGATTTGGCGAAGATAGGGACATTTTTAGAGAAATTTGCTATTTGAAGATGATTGTAGAGACCATCTACATCACTGTCTGTCACTTGTTTTCCAAGAAATTTAGCTACATTCCTAATAACATTTTTCATATCCTGAAAAAAATCATTTAATTATTATATAAGTAGAATAAGATTTGAAAAAAGAAAATATTAATAAAACCAATACCTTAATAATATCTTCATAAAACAGAAACATCAAATTTGGATGTTCTTTCCTCTCCCAACCTTCTTCAATGTGTCTCCAATAAGGCCCATAAACAACTATAAAAAGCATTTCAAATTAATTAACCTAAATATCTCTTAGCATTGATTTTTTATCTATTCAGTTATTTAAAAAAAATTAAAATACATTTGAATATAAAAAAAAAAGAAGATTACCCAGATCATTCTTAAAATAATTCCAATATCTTTCGAAATCTCCTGTATAGTCATGAAGTTTAATCAGTTTATTATGGTAATAATATGATAAAGCGACATCTTTCATATTTCTTGCCAGGTATATAACTTTACATTTGTCAAGTAAATTTTTTGGTAGAAGTGAAAACGGCATGTGAGTCTTGAAATGACGAGGTGAAGGTGTACTTTCAGAAAGTTTATCGACCGGTGTTTTCCATAATTTTAAAACCTCTAAAATTTCAGGATCCGTGTTTTTAGAAAACATTTCTTTTCCAAAGTCATCATGAATAAGAACATCAAGACTAAATGAAAAATAAAGAACAACATGATTTTTTCTTTTTAAATGTACTTTAAACAAATTAATAAATATTTACATAAATAAATGAAATGTTTGCATACTCAAGGAAGGGAAACTTTGTGAATAAGGGTATTTTTGATGATTTTTCATAATCAAAATTGTTATTAATCATCCATATCAACTCCTGTGTTATCGTAGTACCTGGAATAAATATAATAGATATTTACTGGAGAAGCTCAAGTAATAAAACAGTAAATAAACCTACATGTTTACCTGTCCTGGGGAAGGTTACAATAAAAATATCATCTTCTTTTAATTCTAAATTGTAAAAAGCCTCAGCATGCTTTTTAAATGAGATTGGTAGAAACCATTTATCTGGACCAACTTGACAAAATCCAGATCTCTCCCCTTTGAAATAATGTAGTTGTTCTTTGTTCAGTTTATCATCTAAAGGCTTAATTTCATAAGGAAACATCTTTTATGACAGTCAAAATGAGTATTACTGTAAAAAAGATAACATTTAAATTTATAATTCTAAATTATTCAGGTAACAAATATTTGATCCAATTTTAAATAATATTAAAAATTATAATATATTATGAATAATTTATATTATTATTGTTATGATCATTATTTTTATTTAGCTAAATTGAGTATCCTACCTCTTCAGCAGCTGGCTGATAACTGACTGAATTGTTGGGAGAAAGTGAGCACCAGGAATTATGAAGGCCAGGCAAGAAATATTAATTCATGCTGTGTTTAAAATAGATCAGCACTACAATATAAATATAATCAATACAATTATGACTAAATGTTTGATATTAAGATAAAAAGCTTTATATGTAATCTAATATACTCCTCTAGAATACAGCATGTGTTTAAGTCAATTTATTATTACACATAACAGTAAGACCATAATAATATTATTCAATGCATAATCAGTATAGTTTATAAAATATTTAAATAAATAATTATAATTTTTTAAATATGTTTGTATTATTCAATAAATTTCAAATAAGGTACGGAAACATTATACTCTAATTATACATTAAAATAAAAACTATTTACTTATTTCATATATAATTTATGATCATGTATTATTTTTAGTCCAATAATTATTACATAAGAAACTTTCTGTAATTGGTTGCAAAAAAGTAAATAATTATGAGAAGGTGGCCTGCAGTCAATATTTAATAAAAAAATATTGTTGTCTTTACATCAGGGATGTCCAGAAGGGAGTTTCATGGCTTAAGTTGCACTATCAAAAGTTTTAAGGGGGACACATTTTGATGGGGTTACAAATCTTTGAGGGAGGCACATTTCGACGGGATTATGAATTTTCAAACCAGGAGACAGGAGGAAAATATAGAACACACCAATGAAAGTGTAATTGTAAATGACCTATGATTTTTAAAAGTCTGCTTAAGAAGATGAGAGCAATAAAATATCTTGAGAGAACTGGGGAGAGGTTCATGATCCATTGAGCTTGACGGAATGCTTTACATGATGTAATTTCTTTTAAAATTTTAAGTTCCCTTAATTATATGACAAAATAGATAAAAAAAGGATATTTTTTATGCCTATTATTCATATGCCTATAGTTATTCATATTTTCATTTGTCTTACTTAAGCAGATACTATTAAGTGGTTGCCAAAATGCAGGAAGTTGATGATAGTTAAGAAATTCAGTTATATACTTTTAGTAATAATCACTGGATTAGATCTTAGGAGAAAAAGTCATTGAAGATATTATAGCATATGACAAAAAATGTTTTAAGATAACAACAGATTCATCAATAAATAAAAACTTTCAAGAAAAACTGACAATTACATATTTATTTATTTTTAATTTTCAAAAACTGACAACGGTTCAATTTTCTTATGTGAATGAAATAAAATAAAATATTTAATAAATCACTAAAGCAGTTGATATAATTAGATTTTGAAGCCATAAGGAACGTATTAATGTTTTATAATTTTCTAGCCCTGAAATGATGATGAAATGATATATTAAATAAAAATATTTAGTATAACTTGCAAGAATATAAGAATTGTGGGTGTCATTAATTGACTAATAAATGAACAGTTTTGTTCAAAGCTTGGATCAAATTACCAACAGAAAACTATTGTTAGTCTAATTACATATATCTCAAATAATTAATTTAATATACCCCAAAGAGGTTACACAGTTGTTGTTTTTTTTTAATTTTTAAAGCAAAATTTGTTGTTCAATAGACACCTAAGTAGCTCTAAGTCTACTACTTAGCAGTATTTTTTTTTTACTGTAATTAAAAAATTAAATTATAGTTATATTAACTTTAATTTTATTTATTTTATTTTTTAGTAGTAATTAATGCTGATGAAGAAATTACCTCTTTACAAAAATGAATGAAAAGTAAATAAGAGAAACAGCAACTGTTTACTTTTTATGAAAAGTAACTGATATTGGTAATGATTACTGAAAATCAGTATTAGATATTTTTAAATCTTGGTGAGAAGAAACAGTTTTCCTTATCTCTATAACATAGTACTAAAAATACACCTTACCTTTTCTTCAAATGAATTTCTACTAATTTTTTCTAAAATATGCCAAATTAAATATGCAGTTTAATCTATTTATTTAAAAAAATAACTGTGAAAATGTGATTTATCTTCAAATGTGTCTCAAATAATTATTTTACATGCAGTAAATATATAATAATTAATGTAAATGGTCTTTACTAATCAGCCGTCATTTTCATTTATTTTTTTAACTACTCTAATAGATGTTTTCAACCTTACCCCTGAAACTAAATTAATATTTTTCTGTCATAAATTATTACAATTTTATAAATCTGTACGAAATGCAAATATACATCCATATATACATACAGTTCTAAATTTGTTTATATATGCTTATTTTTATTATAATAAAGCTTCTCTATAAAAGTTTATTTTATTTTATACTGATTTAGGTCAATGCAGTGGTTTTAATGCTACAAAACGACCTCAAGTATATTTTGAATGCATTCAATAAAATTACAAACATACTATAAATATAATTCAGTATAACATTTAAAGGATAAATTTAATTTGTTTATTTATTTTGAGAAAAATTTGGTCGGACGGAACTGTCAGAAGCAGTTGGGAAACTAGTGGACCAGTCTCCCAACTGCTACAGGCAGTGCCAGATATAACGCCATGAAGCCCTATAATGTAGGTCGAAACGTTGGAAAATAAAAATATATTGTTATATGATATAATTTTATATATTTATCACACTCCGACCAAATTCTCAAATCATAACTACGGTCAACCATCTTCACACCATTATGTTTATTTATTTTCTTTTATAAAATTGTAACCAGACTAAGGAGGGAGAGGGTAGCAGTGTATATCTGAATGATCCTTCTCAAAACTATGGTTATTTTTTATTCGCCCAACCTTATTGGCTGTAGGGGGGGGAGAGGGGATGGCCGAATGGGCTAACGTGTGTGCACAGCACCACTGTTGCCCAGCAACCTGATATATAAGATAAAGTTATAAAAAATAATCAAAAGTTCGTGTCCCGTCTGTATGCCAGGAGTCTTTTAAATTCCCGCCCTTACCCCCTGACCTGGGAAAACCCCGTATAGCCTTAAAGGCGAGGACCCAAAAAAACATCTTATCGGCTACAAGTGTATAAAAATGGAGAATATCTGATTTTCATTAGTTAAATTCCCCTTAGCAAATTTCCCAACGTAATAATAATAGTACAAAAATAATTTTATAAAAAGATTATGAGATATCGACTCCTGAAAATTATTGAAAAGTTGGATTTCCTCATTTTACAGAATACCTTTAATAACTTTAACAGACTTTTATATTCTCTACAAGCTAGGCTGTTTCTTGCTTTGTAATATTTTGATAAATGAATCCAATAATAGCATTATCACAGCTGCTAATAGCATCAAATAATGCATCCATAGCTCATAATATCAGTTTAAAATGTACTATTTTATTAAATATATTCAAAGTTTCCTTGCTTAATGACCACTAATGGTATGTAGGTGCATAATTGTTTTATTTTTATTTTGTAACTCTCCATCATTTACTAACAGGCTACTTAAAATATTATAGTATATACATCACTAACAATAATATATATACTTTGGGCTACATCACTTTTACTGCACGAAGGCAAAGATAAGGCATTGGTCTCCAGCAAACCAAAATCAATTAATGACAGCTCTTGTAGTTCTGTTTTTTCTGGAATGTGGTAGCACCATAACTTTTAATTTTGAAAATCCTCTCATAAAAATTTCAACTCTCATTTCATAGAATCTAGTTTAACATAGATAGATCTTTAATGCAGAACAAAACATGGCACCATCAAAAATAATATCTTACATTACATCTTTCTGTTGATTCAACCTCAATTATTGAAATAAATTCCAAACAATATAATCAAAACTTAGATTGCCATTTACGCATTTGATTATATTTGCTGAAGATAACTTTTTATGACTAGAAACAGCTGTTATGAAAACTTTAATCTCTGTTATCAAGAGTTTCACAGAAAAAACTTCCATAAATGTTTTTCAAATTCCTTTTGTTTTAAGATTAGACTTAGAATAAATACTAAGATCTGGTGTTTGTATTATTACCAATAATTATGGGTATCTGTAAAATGCTTATTCCCCAATAAACTTCTAACTGCTATTAAAGTAATTGTACCGGTAATAGACACTTTAAGAGAATTTTACAAAATGAATATGAACCACAGCTTTATTTCTGACAGTGGATCTTTGCAAATGGGTTTAATTGACAGCAGATTTAGTCTTTTACCAGTTTTGTTTTTTCAATAGTCTTTAATTATTCATAAAAAACTTAGGAAATTCTGACAGCGTATTTTGTACCAGTCATAAACGCTCATGTTTTAAAGTCAATATATTTTTGTATATGATTATAAAAAAAATCCCACAGTTTCAAACAAGAAAATAACAAACTACAGATGAGTAAATAAAAAATTCAAAGCTATCTCCTACAGAAATATGATAAGGAAACTTCCCTGAAACAAATACTCAGCCTTGCTCCATTGAAAAATCAATCAATCGGATATTGTGGCATGATATTATCTGACATTCAGGCATCACCCTCTTAAGTGTTCTAGCTTCAAATCTGATTGTATATGCACTCTGTTTTGGACATATAAATTTTATTACATATCAATGAGTTGAAAACTGTATATTACTGGTACATTTACCCTATTTTAAAAGTGATATATAACAAAATTGTCAATGAAACTGATGGAGTTTGCATGATGCCTCCTACTTAGAAATATTTATAAATTAAGCATATTACTTAACTACATTTTAGAAAAATAAATATTTCATAAATATTAGTAGAAGTAATGTACTTTTTATTATACACTATATAAATATAAAAACTAAGTACGCCAGATAGTAATCCTGGTGGCACTACTATAAATGGTTAAAGTCTTAGTATATCGCCTTCAAATCTTTTAGGAACTAATTCATGAAACCAATAATTCATCGATCCACACAGATATCCATTCATAGAAATATATTTATATTTCGTTGCAAATGGAGTCATTCACATTATTTTATAATTCAATGGTTATATAAAAATAATAATTATAGAAAATTTTATAAATATTTTATTAAAATATTATTGTATGTACAAGGCTTGAAATAAGATGCAAGTTGTATGTACAAATTTACATTTATATGTTGTTATTTTTCTAAAAAAATTTTTTTTTTTTTGTTTTTTTGCAGTATTCATGTATTCAAAAATAATAAATTACTTAATTTCTTTGAACAAAAAGTAAGTCTTCAGGTACAAATTTGAATGGTAGAGAGCGATTTCTTCCCCTACAACAAACAAAGACTCTTTAGACATGATAATTTAAACGGATTAACAATAAACAATGTTAAAAAATAAATAAATCACCTATGGAGACGTAGAATATTTTTATTTGAAGAAAATTTTTCAGGATCGATCGACTCCAATAAGATATCAAAACAAGCCATTGTCTTGAATATTTGATAACTTAACGATGAAGATGCTTCTGTCCTGGATGTCAGTAACTCTTTCCAATAAATATTTACTTCTCTTTCCATATCCTATCAAATCCCAACATAATTAAATTATTTTCATCATTATACATATGAATAGTTTCATTCTAAAATTTAAAAACAAGTTTAATACATTTCCATTTATTAATATTTTCACAAACATTTCATAATCTTGTGTTTAATCAAAACATTAAAAAAATATGTTTTAGAACAATGTTCACAACAAAGACTTTTTGCCTGCAGAAGAGCTTACGGTCACTGTAAAAGCAATATGATATATTTGTATTTTTGGTGAAATTGAGATATGCTTAAAGATAAGAATCAATTGTATGTAATGAGGACTAAAAAACTAACAGCAAATTAGTATATGAGACTGATATGGAAACTCTTATCATAATTAGGTCCATGGACATGTTTTCTTAGTTTCAATCACAGGATCATATTATATATTGATTATAGGCTACCCAATTTTAAAGAGGTAAAAATAATAACAAGAAATAAATGGAAAGTATAAAATTACTAAAAGCAAAGAAAAAATTACCCGGAGTGTAGAACTGTTTTTAGAAGTAAATTTTTCATTTCCACATTCCATTTCCATAAAAATTACAGATGGAGATAAGGGATAGTCACATTTCACAGATATATACATGTTTAATTTAGCTGAAAAAATTAGTATATTTTGAACAGAAAATATAATATTTAATTTTATATCAAATAAAATATTTTATTTTAAAACATAACATCATTAAAAATTTAAACATATTTTACCATCATCTCTAGAAACAACTCCTTTAAAAAACATATCGTTAGGTGAAATGAAACAGGAATCCTTCAAATGGCTCAATGAAGAATTTTCACTTATTTCCAGCCAAGATGAACACTTCCAAGCTTTTAATGAGCAACATAACTTAATTGACCTCATATCTTTTGGTGGCGCAATTACACCTCTTTCTGTAAAATACAAAGTCTCTTTAAAAGGTACGATTTTGTAAAATATAACATGTAATACAGAAGCAAAATTATAATGTGAGATTAAATGTTATAATTGAGCTAGGTTTCATAATTGAAAGACACCTCTTCCATTGATAGACAAAAAGACCAAACATTTCTGACCCTAGACACTATGGCAGTAAAGAACATCCATCTCAAATATTCGGAAAAAAAAATGTATATTAGTTTAAACATATTTTAAACAATTGACAAATGGTTAACATGCATTTAATGACAATGAGATCAACTACCAGAATAAATTGTCTTTGAAGATGGGTCAGAAACCCAAAGCGTCAAACTACATGAAAAAAGAAATATCAATGGAAGAGGTGCCATTCAATTATGAAAACTAGAACCATTAAATGAGAATAGAGAATGAGTCCTCAAAATCTTAAATAATACAAAATACATCCCAGATAGAGGTGGCCGTTTCTGCTACTTTTTAAAAATGTAAATGAACTGTTCGTTGACCAAAAACAACAGTTCTTAAGAACTGTTGAAAAAAAATAGTTCATAGAACAACGCAACGATTCAAGGAGTAATACCTATTCGTTTAATAACAAGTCTAGAAAGGAATGAATCGTTTTATGTATGAAGTTTGGCATCGTTGGAGCTTGAAATTGATAACCTTTGAATTTATTTTTAATATTACATCAATGTTTAATCTTAAAAATTATTTTTTAACTAATTAAAACTAAAAATTATTTTTTACAAGTAGAACATTTTTTATTTTAATAATATTTAGACTTTCTTGTATGTCCGAAGTTTGAAACTAGGCTGCTTGGTAATCATGAGTCGTTTAACTGTAGTTCAAACAATTTTTCAACTGTTTGCATTTTTCGATTTTTATAGAACATAATAGTGTTTAATTTTATTTATGCAATTAAATTGATTTATGTGAATATGTTCAATCATAAAAATTGTTTTCGGTCAGCAAGACTGAAAAAATTAACACCATTCTAACACACAAGTTATGAAAAATAAAATTGTAATTAATATCCATTTAAATAATTTTAGGGAGAAAATCCAAACACAACAAGAACATAATACCAGATTGAGAACATATAAAAATTATGAATACAACTTTGCAGTATGAGGATTGTTATAAATAAATAAATAAAATTAAGAATATGATAATCATTCATTACCGAAATCTTCCATAAGTGAGATAAGTGACAAACGATAGTGACATCTCCGTTTCAATTCCTTTATAATGACTGGCATATTTGCCCTCGAAACATCCTGCTTCGGTTCAACTTTTCCATCAATTCCAATGAAATTTAATCCTCCCATTTTTTGTACCCATACGTATGGGGTGCCGTATTTTTCAGTGTTAAAACATTCCAGTCCAACCTGTAAAAATAACTTTAATCATTTTTCAAGTGTTAATATAGTACATTGAGACATTATAAAAATAATTGTAGAACTTCATCGCGGGCAAAATCGGATGTAGTTTTAATGTTTACTAATGATTCAATAATTTTTAAAATGGATTATCGTAAGCAATAAGATAAAAGACACAAGTAAGTAGCATTATTTCTAAATACATCAGATGTGACAAAGTTGTGCCAATAAAAGATAGGTAATTTGATTCTTTTATTTAACTGAATCAATTCTCTACGATTCAATCATTATAGTGAATCAATTCTTACGAATGATTCTTTGATTGATTCTTTTTTTCTTTAAATTAAAAAAGAACTTTTCACTTAAAAAAAAAAACGGTAACAAACATTCTCAAACTTTACGGTTATTAACACAAAAAAATTATTCTTTTTTTTAACTGATTGAAATTAAAAGTCCTGGTTCAAATATATACAAATAAAAAGTCATAAATCTTATAAATAAGAAGGAGGTTTAAATTGGACAGATTTTATTTTTTTTTAATTTTATATATTAGATTTTGGTCTGTGTATCTAAAGTAAATGAAATGAAATATAATTTTATTATTCTGGGAATGATGATCCTTTAGAACAAATTATAAATACAAAATAAATAAAACATGAAAATATGGCCATACATTAAATTAAATATTTACATAATAATAGGTAATTAAAAATAAAAGAAACAAGAAAGAAAAAAAACTGTACACATATATAAATAAAACAAACAGAAAGAAAAAATAAATAAAATGGTAATGTAAATAAGAATAGGTTATAAATATCCGAAATTTGAATAAAGAGTGTTTTAATCAAATATATTTATATGATGGGTTCATTAGTAATTAGATAGTACATACCAACATGAAAAAATAATAATAAATGTGTTATTTTTGTGTCACCTTTTTAAGTTGGTAATAATTCTTCAAATTTGGACTTTCTACTCCTGAATCTCCTTGAAATAAATTAGACAGAAGCGTAGTGGAGTTCAACAAACCACTGAAAAAATTAATACAAAAAATGATAAATAGAGTTACCTAATGGTTGAATACATTTTCTTAATAATAAATTTATAACTTGTAAATGATAATAATTAGTAATAAGTGACAATTCAGAAATATCAGAGGTCAATTTTTTTTTAACTTAAAAAAAATATAAACCAACCCCTTAAAAATTAAATATGTCATTTTAAATAAATGTGAGAAAAATCTGACTGAAACTCACTGTGAAGAAGATGATGCCAGATTTAAAACAGGGATAACTGTCAATATGTGAAGATTTAAATAATAATTGAATTGGAGATCAAGTTTACTTCCATCTGAAAATAATCAATAAACATAAATTTAATTTGTTAATGATTAAGAGTAAAATTCACAAAGTAGCCTTTTTTTTTTACTCATTAAACAATTCATATAGAATTCTTCATGTTCCTAATAGTACAATCCAATAGAAATAATCAATGTTTGGAAATATTTCATGCACAATATTATACATTTGAGCTGTCACATGAATTTAGTAAATAACAATTACATGCAAGATATCAGTCATGGTGTCAACAAACTAAAAAAAATAAATCAGAAACATGGACAAGTCCTTTTTTTTCAAGTTTCAGTGCTACATATCTTGAAACATAAAGACTCAAATTTCAAGGATGGGTTTAATTTCATTTTCTTGGACAGTCTCACAGTATCATGATTAAAAATGAAGAACTAAAATCAATTGATCAGTAATAAAAGTTATAAAGAATAAAATTGAAATATGAAAAAAAATATTGGCAGCTGAGACTGATACAGCACCTTAAATTTCCTTACTGAAAGAGCTAAGCTGTATATTTGTATCTGTTTCAGTTAGTCTAAATGTTATTTCTTTCCATTAGGTCATTAGCGGTAAGTTTTTAAATTCTGTTGTAATACTTGGTGTTGAATTTAAGAGAGCATTATGTTGGATTTACATCCAAAATTTTATTGTATACAATATTTTAAATTATCGTTGTATAAACAACACGGGGGAACCCCCGGTCTCAACTTGCACTACCCCCTCTCTAAGACAGCCTTATCTTCGGCCAAAGGACAGATGCTAGCGAGCGAAGCAGGCTAGTATTAAATATATTCGATTAAGTAATGGAACAGAGTGATGACATCCTCTTCATTGTCTCGCCATATATCTTCTAACGTTGTGGATAACTTTAATTGTTTTTTTTTTCAATTTGGGAGCACTCAAGTAATAAGTGTTTGACTGTCGGTGGTGTTTTGTCACACTTTTGTCATGTGAGCACTTCTAATCCTCTAACAAGGTACCCGTGTGTAAAGAGGCAATGTTCAATTCGTATTTAGCACAATTTGATTTCTTCTCTTATAGGTGCCAAATATGCTGCTATGGGATGGAACTCAGACAAACAGATCACACTCACTGATCTTTTTCTCATTTCCTACCATACATTCAATATTTCTCTAATTAGGGAGCTACTTGGAGATGGGTTACTAATTGCTGCCAAGACACTTTAGGAGTCGGTTGCTACGATCCAGTTATTATCTTTGAATTTTTATATCTTAGCATTTGCTTCTACAGTGCATATGGAGCTCTTTCCTGTTAAGTTAAATTGTAGCTGTAGCTGGTTTTCGGAAACATAAACGTTCTTATAAGAGGTCTCTTTCATTCTTTTAACTGATAAAATTAGCAATCTCACAGATGCAAATAAAACATAATAGAACTAATGTCAACTTTCACAAAACTGACTGAAACTCTCACTAATTTCTGATTTTTCATAAATATATTTATATTCGTAAACATAATGAATTTATAATATACTACAAGGTAGTACTACAGATTTCCTGTTCAGAAAAAAAAAAGATTAAATAGAAAAAATTTAAATAACAGGACAGAGGTAAGTTGTGGTATACTTAAAAAATAATTAAGAGTGCTTGCTTATGCAAGTATTGTTATAGTAATTCTACTATAACAATATTTGCATAAGCAAGTAACAATATTTGACCTATTGAGACCTCTACGATATTTAGTGTATATTCATACACTAAATATCGTAGAGGTCTCAATATAAAACCATGTAAGTATAAAACGTTTTAATTTAGAGTTATTTTATTTTTTCTCAAATTTACACACAGCAATTATCTCTATAGAATATTACTGATGATTTTTAAAAAACATATTTCACAAAATGATGAATTTTTTTATTTGTTTTAACAGAGTTGAACATGACTAATTTAAAAACTGATTTCATACTGAGACCAATGATATCTTCTTTATAATTTAATGTTATATTAAACAGTTTTAAATAAAAAACAAAAATTAATAATAAAATTATAATCATAAATACCTTTCAGCAAAATTTTGAGAATGACTGACAGAGGGTGTTTAGTAAACAACTTCTGTCTCCCCGCTTCAAAATTTTTCTTAGTTCCACTTGATGATCCTTCCTCCTACGAGAAAGGACGTAACTTCAATTTAAAAACAATAACGACTAATTTAGATTTAATTAAGGTAAATTGAATATTCTTATAGATCATTCTCTTTCTTTTAAATGATTACTGATTCCATTTAATAATTTTATTTTCTTCTTTTGACCTATTATATTAATTCTTTCTTAGTACACTAATGTATTGTTGAAAGGTGAAGGGTTAGGCCAACCCAAAGATGTTATATTAAACCAATTTCAGAATACCGGATGAAATTAGTTTCAGTATCTCAATACAGATGGCACAGGCAAAGTCTGAACCCAAACCAGACAGAACCAGATGCTCTCTGACCTTCATCCCAATGAGCTCAAACATCACAGCATTGATGTTTCAAGAATATAATAAAACGTTAATCTATCGATAACGTAAAAAAAAAACATTTTTAAATAAAATAAAGCACTATATTTTTACCAATTCACTATCCTCTTCAGAAGTTTTCACTTCTTCCCGATATTGATGGGATTTTACACGTCTGGCTTCAGAAACACTGCCTTTAATATCCACTGATATATCTTTATCTGAAAACAATAATTTTTAAATAGGATCAAAACCTTTATAATGAAAGAGTTATTAACATCATCAAATATACTAAAAAAAAAAAAAAGAAGTAAATTCATAAAATAAATGTTAACATTAACAAGTTTCAAATATTATAAATATAAACTAGCTGGTTACCCATTCATTGAACAGGATTAATAACATTAATTATGGTTTCTAGCATTAATTATAAAACACCGGAAGGCTGTTATTATTCCAGTCTACAGTATATTAATATCCGCCTAAAACTTCATCTCATTGTTACCTACAACTTTTTTATATTTATGAAAATTCTCAAAATTGGGGCGTTTTCAATCCGGAGATCGGAAAACTTTGTCGATTCAATTAGTTAGTTACTAAAAACTCATACCCATTTGCTTTCCACTTAAATTGCAAGATAATTTGATCACAAAATCCAGAATAAAGGTTGCCTACAAAAATATTGAGCCGTTTGGCATGACCTCCACAACATGTCAAAATAACGAGATTATATAGGCCAAACGGTCCAATATTTTGTGATCAAATAATCTTACTATTCAAGTGGAAAACAAATGGGTATTTATGAGTTTTCAGTACCTAATTATATTAATTAATTGAATGAGAAAACAACCCAATTCTGAGAATTTTCATAAATTAAAAAAGTTATCAGTTATAATGAGATGAAGCTATTAATGAAGTTTTAGGCGGATGTTAATAATTTAATACAAAGAAGTCTGTACCACTAATTAAAGATATTTGGGAGAATCAAGGCTTATTTCTTATACTTCTTCAGGTTCAACTTAGAATGTGAAAATGGAAAATCTCAAATATTGGGAAGAAATGTATTTTAATGTAAAATTATTTTTTAAACAAAGGGCAAATGGTTTAGCATGCGTTGTAGGACAATGAGATGTCAACTATCAGATTAAATTGTCTTTGATGATGGGTGAGTAACCCGAAACGTTAGACTGAAGGAATAAAAATAAAATAATAAATTTTTTGAAAAAAATGAGTTTCCTGTTGAAATCTGTATATATTTCCTTGTAACAATATTTATGAGAGGACTAGGTATAACAAAAGAAAAAGGTTTCACCAAAATCCGTTCAGCCATTTATCCTTATGAAGAGAAAAAAGTGTAAAAGATAACAATTTATACTTGTCATTTTATTAATGTTAAATGGATCAAAATTTTTTTAATACATACCACAGGCATCACTAAAAGCTATTGCTTGAATGTACAAGAAATATAACGGCTCAGGTAACAGAGAAGTATAATCACTCATAGGTAATGTTTTAAACGGTGAGATGCCTAACTTATCCTGTAATGGTTGAGTTACCTGAAAGGAAAATCAAAATAAATAATCTCAGATTCATCATAAATTTATGATAGATACCCAAAAAGTGTAAAACATACAAAAATTGAATTTTCAACAATGATAGAAATCAATTGATACAGAAAATAAGATTTTGAAAATTATGTAATCTATATATTTAACTTATTTTTCTTATTTGTAGCTCTAATTGGTACTTAAAAAAATAATTATTATAATTTATATCACAGTAATTAACTATATTCATAACTATTATTAAGTCATGATACTTTTTTTCACAGTTTTATAAATGAATTTCATAATTATAAATAATACATTTTCTTAATTTTTTTATAATTTAAATAAATAGTTTTTTTTTTAAACAAGTCTTTCATCCAGCAGACTTCTAATTTATTTAAGGAGCATATGTCTAACAAGACCAACGGTGAGCAGTCATACCAGTAAATAGGGACTGGAAATGAAGGCCCTGCCCCTCTCCTTCATAGATTGTAAAAGTATTTTTTACAAGAAAAAAAAACAGTTTTATCATAATTAAATAAATAAAAACGAACCAAATGATATTATAATTCTTTCTTGGGTACTTAATAAAATTGATTTCAAATAAAAATTTTTTATTAATTAATTTTTCTTCAAATCACTTTAAAAAATGATAAATTATGAAATATTTTAATCATACACCACAGTTATTCATTCATAGAACTTCATAAAATTAATCATTAGTAACTATATATTAATAATTTTTATTGACCTTATTTTATAAATTTTGTTATGTACTTACAACCAAAACTTCCTTGATAAGGGGAGCTAAACTGTTCAAATCTTTCTCTTTTTTCTCGATTTGCTCAGTTATATGGGACCTCTTATCTTCTAAATCATTAAGGAGAGTCGCTAATTCTTTCCGTTGAGTCAGTTCCCATTCTAAACGAGCTAGCTGTAATTTATGTTCATCAACTTTTGTTACTTCCTGCAATATAATCAACATGTTATACATCTATAATCTGTTGAATGAATTCATAAATATTGTACTTATTAGCACTTACGGGTTTGGATATAGATGCAGGAGCTTTGTCATAGAATTCTTGAACTGGAATTAAATCAATTCCTAGTGGTCGGGACCTGGAAAATAATCAGAAACAATTTTTTTTTTAAAATCATAATTAATTTTTTTAAATTAAATAAAATAAAAGCCTAGATCTTTATACGGTACTCTTCTCAAAATAAAATAAAAAATTTATTAAATAATTATTCAAATATCAACAGATTTTAGTAACAATAAAACAGGAACCCAGGAAAGTTAAAATGGATTTCCTAGCTGCATTGCTAGGTTGAGTTAACCATACATTTAAGACCTGACCAATATGATATCATTGTTTTGATATCCTAAAATCTTTTCACCGAAAAGATTATACTTATTAGTTTCAAATTCCTCTATTTAAAATGTACCTGTCATAAATGTTTAGATAAATTACTGATGATCATCCTGCATCACATTTCTAAAGAAAAAATACTATTTCACTCAGTCGATCTCTATAAGAGGAAAATAAACAGTTCTAATGGACCTTAAAATGTCGACTAATGAATATGTGATAATTTGTAGTTCATTCAGTTGCCACATTTGTGCAGTACTAAGAAATTCAAAATAGACATGATTAGAAATCCAGTAAATAAAACATTGAGGAGTGATTCTGAATTGAGAAAACAGCCATTCTAAAATAACTTACAAGAATAAATAAAGTAGTCACAAACTTTCTGTGCACTGTGAGCACGTTAATGAAAGAATATATTAATTAGTTGAGACTGATAACTATTTATCAACTGATAAATGTAACTAGCTATAGCAACGATAACATTAGTCGACTGAAATACTGACAATCATTAAGTCTTCAGGATGCAAATGTTTTACAGTTACAAAATTAAATAAGTTGTTTCATTGTAGATCTCTAGGTCTAAATTCAAAACATGAAAAAACAAATCGAAAATGCATATCCTGAACTGAGCTGTAAACAAATAATAAACTAGTGCACCAGTAGTCCGTCTTTCAGAACTGAAGGATATAGACAAATATTTTCATGAAATAACAATTCACAATAACTATTTAACTTACATCTTATAAAAAAAAAAAAAAAAATAGCTGGATAAAAAACTATGTATGTATATAAAATTACTCACTTAAATTTTAAACATTTATCAATTTCTTTTCTTAAATGTTGTATTTCACACAACAAATTATCAAGTTTTAGCTGTGCAACATCAACCTGATGTCTTTCTTTATTAATTCTTTCACGAGATATTTTGGTTCTAGTTTTCTCAACTCTATTTAATTTTTTCATTATTAAAGTTATGAATGCAGCTTCTTTACGAAGTTCATTTATTTTTTCTTTCCACTAAAAAATAAATACATAAACAATAAGACTAAAATGAAACATAATACACATACATTAACAGCTATCATTAACTTACTCCATCAGGTTTGGATGCTTTTATTTCAGTAATATCCATAACACAATCAGCAAAATCAGCACACGCATCCTTGTATAGCTTAAGATCTTCAGCAGGATCTCTTTCTTTCGCTTCATCTTCCTCATGCTTTATAACTCTCTGTGATTGAATACATTTTAAAATCAAAATCAAATAAAATAAACTAGTAAAACTTATAAATAAATATATTTATTTTTTTAACTGCATTGAGAACTCTTAGACAGGTTAAATAAAGATAAATTATCATTGATCTACATTTTCAAAATTAATTTGCTCATACACTCAAAATATTTAGTTATATATGAGCTGGCATTCTTAAAGTTATAATTTAAATCAAGTATTTGCCTGCCATTATTATGGGACAAAAATAAAAACTAATATATTTTTATATTTTGCAATTTAAGAAGTTAAAATAACATAAATTGTTAGTAAACGTATTTCCATTTTACAATGAAAAAATGTATTTATACTTTCTTTTTCAGATTCTAAAGTACAAATTAAGTAGGAAGCTAGATCGTTTCCACGAGATTCTCATCTATAAAAATCGCGATGGGAAACTTTTTTTGGTATATTTTATACATTAAATGTTTCATACAAGTATGGCCTTAAAATTGGTTAGCCTAACTAAAATTATGCAATACAACCAAAGGGTCCCAGGGTCTTATCAAAGAGAAAGGTAGAAGAGTATATTTTTTTTAAAAAACAAGGTAAGGTGGACTAGCAACAGATTTTTTATTTATAAAAAGAGATGCTTTTTTTTTCTTTAATAATAATGCAATTATTTTTCAGCAAAGAAAAATAAAGAATTCAATTTATGTAATTCCTTGAAGAAAAATTAAAATTAAATCATTTGACATGAAGTTACTTTAGTTCAAATTATACATAAATCAAAATAATAATTGGTAATTGGCAGACTGTCGTGGATAATGAGGAGAAGAATAGTTGGGGTGGTCAGTCAAAAAGGAAGGCAAAAATAAATATTATCATTTATTTTTGCCTTCCTTTTTGACTGACCACCCCAACTATTCTTCTCTTCATAAATCAAAATAATTTATTATCAATTATAATGGTGTAGAGATGGTTGACTGTAGTTATAATTTGAAAAGTTAGTTGGGAGTGCGATCAATATACAATACTATGCCTTATAATAATATTTTTTATTATAGTTGATTGATGGTTGTCTGTAGTGAATAATTGAAGAGAAGTAGGTTAGGGTGTTCAGTCAAAATAACAAATGATATTTATTTTTATTTTTGCTGACGTTTCGGTCCAAAGTTCAGGCCTTCATCAGAGCTAAGAAAATACCAGATAATAATAGGTATGAGAAACTATTAACTTATGAAAAAAATATAATATTAATAATGATAATAATGCTAGGAAAATATGAAAAACAAAATTAATAATAGTAACAGAGAGAAACTTATGAAACAAATAATAACGGCAACAAGGTTGGGGACTAATGAAATAAATATAATGAATGAAATAAACATAATGAAATTATAACAAAAGGAATAAAAAAATTAATTAACAAAGAAATGTAATGGAATATTATGAAATAAAAACATAAGTATTAACATAGAATGAATGAGGTGACATAGTTGCTAAAATATCTTTTAGAATGCTAAAAATAAGTGAGATTGACATAGAATAAAATGTAAAACAGAGAAAAGGAATATGAAGTTAAATAAAGAAAATAATAGATGTAAAGTAATAGAAAATTAAGATACTGTCAGAACATAATGACTACATAGAAGAGAAATAAAGACTTAAAATTATGAAAATAAGATGAAATGAGTAAATGTAACGATATACACAAAATAGAAACAGAGATATGGAAAAGAAAGTAACGAAAAAAAGGTAAATGAAGAGAATACTGAGATAAAAGAAGACCAACCTGATCTCACAAAAGGTTCCCGTAAGATAAGATTATTTGGACGGGAAACAGTGAAACTTACATAGTGCTCTCTGTAAAGGTTCACAAAACAATTTTTAAATATCTTCTATTGTATTTTCCAACGTTTCGACCTATTTTTCAGGTCTTCTTCAGAGCGTTCTCGTCCATTTGGAACCAAATGGAACGCCCTGAAGAAGACCTGCAACATTGGAAAATAGAATAAAAAATACTATTATATGATATAGTATTGTATATTGACTGTACCCTCCGACTAACTTCTTTTCATATTATCAAATATTTATTTTTAGAAGTGTATCAACATTCTTTATCTCATAACTTCCTTTTTCACATAAAATACAGTTAATTATTTAAGAAATTAACAAATTTCTGTCATTTAAATATTTTAGGTAATTTGTAATTGAAATATATTTTCTGAAAACAACTTTAATACTCTATAATTTTAAATATATCTTAGAAAAACAAAATACTTGGTATTTTAAAATAATAATTAAAAAACTTTTTAAGATTTTTAGAATTTTTTCTTGTTTTATTTCTAGAGATGTTCACCATCTTTCGGGTACCAGCGTATTTCTAGAGATGTAATATCAAATATAAAATTGAATTTAATTTATAAAATTACAAAAATGATACTTGATGATAAAGGAAATTCTAAATAATCAGATGTTTAACTCAAGCTTTCCACAAACTATTAGGCAGACCTCCACTAAAAAAACAAACAAAAAAAACATACAAATTCTCAATAACACCATAAAAGATATATCAAAATTCAATAATGCAAGTGAATGCAAATGGTTCAAGTCCCTCCAACATTCTAATATTTTAAGTGCCTCCTACAACCATACTTAACTAATAGTCTTAAAGAAAGTAGCAAAATTTGTAATTTATCTCATCTAATAGAATTTTTGCTTTACTATTTTAATATCTAGATACGGGAAAACTAATCACAAGAAAACCATCATATAATAATTTAACATACCCTGGAATTAAATAACCAGCAAATATATTAAATAATATTCGTTTACAATAATAAACAACTAAAAAAATAGTTACACACTTCAAATAATGGCAAATTGTTTTTGGGTCTTCTATTTAAGTAGTCTTGCAGAAATGTATCATAATCATCTGATGAAACTACATCCTCAGAAACAATATCATTATTGGAATCTCGTTCACTTATTTCTGTCTTTCTGCGCTTTGCAGCAAGAGATTCATCAATTTCCGATTCCATTTAAATTGTAAAAAAATAAATAAATACTTATCAACGAACAATAGCAAAGAAACTTGCGTAGCCAAGCAGCTAGTTATCGTAAACAAACGGATTTGATATAAGGTTAGATTTTAACAGCAAAGAAGTCAACGAGTGGTTGGTAAACGATGCATTCAATACGAACGCAACCGACTTTAAAAAAAAATATTATTATCAATTATTAAATTAAAACATAATTTGTTCTAATATACATATCATCTTTGAGATTTTTTGCTGTACAAAATAGAGCTTTAGGCTACGGAAATATATAATACTTATATATATTTAATACTGAATAATAAATATATAATACTGAAAAAAAAATAGATCCATTCAATTAAATATAAAGCAGATTTCCATGTATTTCTAATTCTCCTGAGAGTTACAAAAAGCCATAATTGATCTGTGTGCAACAAAAAAATAGAGGAAAATAAACAGCCAAAATAATAATTAAATATAAAGGAGCAGTCAACTTTGCTGGTATTTTCTTTTTCTCTGTAATAAAATATATCATTTTCTCATTCCAGATATCATATTATAAATACATTCATACTATGAATTTCTATCAAAACACTAATTAAACAGAAAAAATGAAGTACTCCTCTCTTAACTCTTTTTCCTAGCAAAGCCTGGAGTTTTACTCCTTGATAAATCTACTATTTCAGTCTTCCATATCAGCCAAATAATTCTGTAGGGCATTCGAAAATCCTTAGGTCTGGTAACTGAAAGTTTATTTCATCCTAAGCTATCATATGATTACTAGTCTCGATTTATATTTCACTCATGGCATTTCTCAACTTCATTCAGTCTGGTGCTAATTATCTGTAAATATCTTGTTTTGAAATCATTCATTACTGGTAAAAAGTGTTGGTGTAAACATATTATCATTACTCTCATCAATGTAGGTAAAACATAAAATAATACATAAACTCATAAAATACTTATTTTTTTTTAATTCTGACATCATTTTTAAGATTTCTAAAAAAGATTCTAATATAGCCCTCACCTACTTTTTTCTAATACTATTCTAATTATTTTCTAAATAGCAGTGCATATTTTGGAAATAAAAGATATAATTGAAGATGGATGCACTAGTGGATTCAGGATTTAATTTTGGGGGGGACTTTAGCCCGAAAGATTTTTTTTTCATATACATATAACGATAATTAATTTGAAAAAAAAGAAATTGACAACCTATATGAAATGGTGTTTAAGTGGTTCTTTGAAATCCTATTAAATGAAACAAGAATACTTTAAGAAATAGTTTTTAATATTTTTTTTTCTGTAAAACATGGTTATATTTTACCAATTTGGGGGGCTTCAGCCCGAAAGCTTAATGGTATGTTAAGCTACGTAAGCTCAAAGAAAAATAAATAGGCTAAATAGTCACAGTCATTAGGATTATGCTACTGTCTAAAAAACTGTGATTGAACTTTGAAAATTATAATACTCAGGATTCTCTAATAATTATATACTCTCCTAGGCAGGTGAAACCTTATAATAAAATAAACAAAAATTGAAACGGATTTCATTTTGAAATTCTATGCTTCAATTGGAAGTTATGAAAAAATTATCCTAGGAAACATCCAGTATAAAAAATTGCAAGGAGTAAAAAAAAATTTTCAAGTGGAATTTTCTTTTAGGAAGTAATCAATACTATGAAACATATATCACTTTATTATTATTTTTTATAAGGAATAAAATTATGCTATAAAAATATTTATTAAAATAATAACACTCGATAATCAAACAGGTTTTTTCCACTACCCCGTATCTCATTACAATAAAATATACACACACAAGCCTGAATCAGCTTGTTGAAACTAACTAGTCAACAAACCACTGCAAAGGAAATAAAAAAATATATAAAAAAATAAAATTCCAAAATCATTTAGCAAAATGAAACAAGATAACACCCACCAGCATCAGTGTTTTGATGACTAGTACCCCTTCACATAGATATATCTTATAGCAAAGCATACTGTGAACAATTTAAATGTTAGAAATATATACATAAATACAACATTCACTTCTACGTTTCCAAATTTGTTGAAATAAGATTAGAAAATAGTATTGTATACAAACTATAATAAAAAAGAATTGACCAAAAAGTGATATGCAATATATTACTTTATTTAACATATTTTTTATAAACTTCATTTCCTCCCTTTTACTAAGAAAAATATGTCTGTAAAAAAAAAGGATAACAAAATCGACTAAATAGGTAATAGAATGAATGACAAGAGCTTGAGATCATTTTTAAGCTCCTTTAAAAAGCACTTCTTGGTTACAAGAATTACAAAAAAATAATCTTAATATGGATCTTTTTTGGTTTTTTATAAACTATTAACTATTTTCAGAATTTCATTTACATATCCTTAATTCAATGGGCAACATATATTTTAAATATTTTTTAATAGCTGAATTGAAATTGTAATACAGTTTAGTTTTAAATATTAAGCATAAAATATTTTGTTTTTTATTAATTAATCAATGCATCTCAAATTGATTGATTGATTTATGGCAGCATATGTATTCTATTCAATGCTTAAGAGTAACTATAAATGCTTTACAAATATATTCAAATTTGGAAACATTTCACTCATTTTCCGTAACTATACCTAATACCTATACCTAACAATCTAGAATTCAACAAGCTTATAAAAGGAAATAACATACATATATACACAATTTGAATATGAAATATTTTTCATATCAAACTAATCTGATCATCACCAATCATATTGATACATAATATTTTTAATATCAATTTTCATTATCCATCTTACGTACACAGGCTTTTCTTATAGTTAATTATACTTCACCCATTATAATAAAACAAAACTGGCATAAGTACAAACATTGCATTAGACTTCAACATCAATAATTATATAATTAAGATAATAATAATTAATAATATTTTATAATTGGGTTTGTAAAAATATATTGATGATGTGGAACGAAAAAAATTACCATTTAACGTTTTTAAACTAAAAACACAATAGCTCAAACCTTATAACTATTATCGTTCAGTTTGTATCTTTTAATTATGACCCCATTCTTATTACAATTCAGCATTTTGATTTGTTAAATGTTTCATAAAAAAACTATTTTTAAAAATACATTAAAAATTAGAACAATCCTTTGAACTCTTAAATTTTTAATTCACTAGTTCAAGATCCTCAAATTTGATTGACAAACATAAAACAAGAACAGTTATTATGAATGAATAATCTTTTAGATTATCTGCAATATGGTGACATTAAATATATATACAAAGATATCAAATTAATTATGTTAAGAAAAAAATCAAAATCTTTTCATGACCTATCATAATTGGCCAGTAATTAATAATTGAAAACTACCATCAAGCTTTATTTTTTGGCGATAATTTAAAAAAGTAATGGACTGTCATATTAAATACAAGAACTATCAATACAATGAAACTATTTGTAGAGATATATGTTGGAAAACACGTAGACTGGTATGCTAAGCAAAAGAAATATAACAAACAACAATGTCTTGAATTTTCCCTTAAGTGTCAATAGCATCTAACTGCCACGACAAAATATAAATCCAATAACACAAAACATGAAACTATTTGTTAGTTGCTTATAAGGTGATTATAGAATAAACCATAATTACTAAGTTTTAAAACCAATAAAAACTTGATTATCAAAGAGAAAAATATATTTAACAAGCATAAAAAAGTTAAAAAGAATAACAATTTTCAGTAGCATACTGCCTAGCCTACACTTAATTTAAATAACTTGTTAAATGCTACGCCACTATAATATTACAGCAAAACTAATTTTACATGGGTGGTCGTGTGTTACGTTAGTTTCAGCTTGCAAATTAGTAACATCTACATAACAACAATTAATTATTTTATTTCTACAATTGTATATACTTGACAGATCCTAAATTTTTATCTCATTTTCAAGTTAATAAATTTTAATTGATTTATATATATTATACAATTTTTCTTTGAAAGGAAGTTTAACATATACGAGTCTTTACAATTTTTTTTTTTAATCACAATCAAAGAACATGCATCGCACTTTAAAATGGGCGATAAAAATTTAAATAGTCTTTTAAAGTCGGTGGCAGAGGAAGTGAGCAAATCTTTTGTCTCATTATAACGGAATATACGGGAACATCCTCTTCTTGCTCGACTTGTGGGGAAGGAGATTTGAGAGTGCTCCAATGCCCACATGAAGAATCAATATCCATTCCATCATCTTCTTCATCATCATCAGGCTCTGAGGATATCATTTTAAGATCATCTTCAGATTCAGAGCTTCCTCCTCCTTCCTGTGTATTATCCATATCAGTACATATTCCACTGTCGAACTTCTCGCGTTTAGCAACTTTTCTTCTTCGTTCTGACACATCGTCCTCGTCTTCATCATCTTCTTCTTCCTCAACTTCATCATCTATGTCATCAACGACATCATCTTCAGTATCATAATCGAGCTCAGCTCTATTAGGGGGGCTATTACGATTTTCCTCAGCAGCAGCTCTATTGTTTCTCCAGCGATTTCCTGAAAATAGAAAATAAAAAACTTTAAACAATAATTTATGAGAATTAGATACTAAATTTTAAACTTTACATGAAACCTTTTTTTTACCTACATATAATTTAATTAACAAATTCTTACAATTAAAAATTAAATCTTCATCAAATGAGATTAGGAATCCGCCTTTTTTTCCCAAAGGAATATCACATACAGTAGGTCATGATAAGATATTTTCTAGATATAGTCATTTAGAAAGTGCCTTACCTCACGAATATTAAGTGTAGATATAATTATACTAATACTTTCATTAAATTTGATTCAATAAAATTGGAAGGTTACAAACATTAATTGTAACTGAATAAACTTGAAATTTAGAAGATATCCCAGGTGACAATGTATGGTGCTCAAATGCACATAGAATAAAGTTATGATTAAATCAAACCTTCTTTTAAGAAAAATATTGATGTTAGAGTGTTTCCTGCCATTATTTAAGACCTATGAAACACTGTCCGAATATTCGACATATTAATAAAATATGTATGCTAAGGTTGCTTGTTGTTCTTGTATATATTTAGAGGAAATATATTTCGAACCTTCCTTAGTTTTCTATTGGATAATATAACTTGTATTCGAGGGTAGACTTTATGGTCAATAGTTATAGAAACCAAATGTGGAACTGAACTGTATAAAAATATAAAGACTAATTAAAATAATCCTTCTATTAATGGTAAGCTCTTAAAATATACTCAGTGTAAATTTACTTCTTTTTATTTTACATTTAATATTGAAGTTTTAAAGAACTTACGAGCAATCACCAATAACGGAGCAATGGCACCACGCTCCCGAATAACAGGGCCTAAGTAAAAAACAAAAATCGAAATATATACTACCTTTAATATAGAAAATTTAAGATGTGAAACAAATTATGAAAAGTTGAAAAACAAATAATAGTAGTTTAATTAAAATAAATGTACAGTATTCTTATAAATTTTATAATATAAAGTTACGAACAGCAGTGAATTTCAAGAACTTAACTGAATTCAAGTTTACTTAAAAGTCTTTTTAAATTTTAAAAAATATATAAATTAAAATCAATTATTAAGCCACAAACAGTTTGCAAAGATTTTCTATAAACCGGAATATACATATTTAGTCTAATTCTGGTAGTCGAGCCTTTAAACCAGGGGTCTCCAAACTATTTAATCAAGGTGCATATAGACTTTTAAGTCCAGGTCTCCATATCAAAGAGCTCATATTTTTAATTACAATGAACGTATTCGTTTTCATTGCGGATGTCTGTTACCGTAACTTTTTATCAGACATTAAATCAAAATATCTTATTATTATTATTTGATATGATTAACTCATATTGTAAATCAAAATTAACTATAGTAGATCGTATTTGAGATGCCTACGAGCCATAATTTGGAGACCTCTGCTATAAGGCATAACCTATTTCAATTACCTATTTATTTATTTTTTTAACAATTGTTAATAAATAAAATAAATATAAAGAACTTAATGTTTAAAGCTAATTTAGGTCTGTGTACCGAATAAAAATTCTTAATTCGAATCTAAAAATATTTAAGATATGATCAAAAGCGCTGAGGCAAAATAAAACACTACCATGAGCTATAAGAAGCCAAGCAATTTATTTTATTTTATTTTAACTTCCCAGTCCAGCTGAGGCATAAATTTAGTTTTTTTAAATCAAAAATCGACTGACTATCGAATGTTTAGGAGACCCTATTTATCGACTCTATAAAGTGAATAACTTATCCTTCATGGAAGTGATGTTTTATAAACACTAATAACTTCCCTCCTATCTAGTCTTTATTTAAGGAAAAAAATCTTTAACTCATAAAAACAAGTCACGAGATATAAGAAAATAAATGATTCTAAAGATACTATTTCACTGGAACTGTTCACAGTAGCGGCCAAATCTTCTCAATTAGCATCCTAGTTTTAAACAACTTTAAATAAAAATGTTAGCCTTAAATATAATGGTTTTTATTTGTATCGGAACAGCAATACATATGAGGGCAGAGTTTCAATCTTATTTAATTAATAAATACCAATTTTTCTGATAGTTAAGGTTGACAAGGTTAGGTTATGTCTGTACTATAAAATGTAAACAATTATCTACATGATAAAAGCCCTAGAGCCAGGGCCCAAAAATCGACCTCATCGTAGGAGAAGGTTTGAATAATGTAAATTATGAAAGTGTATGTTATTATAAGTAAAATAAATAAAATAAAAGTTTGTCTGCCATTCCATTCCAGAGTCGCTGCTTTCAAAAATGGCGGCTGATTGAAAGAATATTAGGCCAGTAACTTGAGGATCAAAACAGAAAATTCATTGTGAAAAATATGAGAAAAGTTTTTATTTTTTTAACTTATATAAGTGGGCTTAGACACATAAAAAACAAAATTGCAAATGCAGACCACCAAGGAAAAACTTTCGATACAAAATTTAATGTTCTTTAATAACTTAAAGAGTACATTTTTTGCTTTAATGCATTGTATAGGAGTTATAGTGAAAACAAAATAATAATATCAACAATATCTAACATTTTTGTCTATAAAAATTTTTCCCTTGGTGGATCAGTAAATTAGAATTAAGATTGAAAAAGACAAATTCATTTTTCAATGATAGGATTTGATTATTTACCTGAGGTTAAATTTTTTTCCATTATTTAATTTAAGTTGGATTTAAGTACATTTTAATCCCTTTATAAAAACCCTTCTTACTTCAATCTTACAAAAAGGATTGTAGCAACGTTTAAATTGAAAACAATTTTTCATTTAATTTTGTTTGACTTAATGAAAAAAAAAAGAAAAAAATGAAGCATTTCAAGGTGACTGTTTTCATCAAAACTCTTCTCCAATTTGATAACATAGCCTATAACCACCACACTGTCAACAGCTTCAGGAGTGGTCAGAAGAGAGCAATATAGATATGGCGTCATACCTAGACTGCTGATCAGTGCCAACAAAAGATTTTTTTTCTATTCCACTAAAGTAGTGCTCAACTGCTAGTAGTGGTGGGTAGTGCCAGCAAAATAGTATCTTAAGGAAATGTAGCCAATTTAGGAGGATAATTTAATATTTTCAGTAGAGGGGAATAATCCAATATTTTTACATCAATAACAAAAATTATTTAATGCAAGATGGCTCAGGCTAGCAAAATATGGAAAATAGGAAAATACTAGACGCAGCAATGCAGAGGCTGCACAGAATAAGAACAAATAATTTTTTTTTTTTAAATATATGGAAACAATTTGAAACTAATAATATTTATTCAAGATAGTTTTTACTCCACATACCAAATATTGGATAAATAAAAACATCCAAGCTTCATATTTCATTTATTATAAAAGAAAAATATAGAAAGATATTTATTGTTTAAAAAAAAATATTGTGAGAAATGTTTAAGATTACTTTACTTTATTTGAAATGTTTAAAAGATTGACAAATTGAACTGGTAGAAACCAGGGGTTGAAACAGTTATTTTTTTTTACAAACAAGTTCAACTCTAACTGCTTGGAAAAAACTTTTATCAATAAAATAAAAGTTCTTGATTACTTTTATAATACACATATAAATATCACAAAAAAATATTTGTTAAACTTTTACTTTTTGCCTCTAAAATATAAGTTATAAGTACAAGTATGTTTTTTAATTAACATAATACATATTATCTTGCTCCATAATTTGTAAATATTTAATATGTTTAATGCGTAGGCAAATTATTATAATGTTTTATAAAGCTATGCACATGTACTGATGATATATTTTCAGTTAATAAAAACGTAAAAGCATATTACTTTTTTCATCAAAACCTATTCAAGTAAATAGTTTATAAAAACTTTTATTATATTAATTAGTTTTGAAAATAAAAGTTAACAACTGTTTTGAAATGACATATATCAATAAAGTTGTAGTAATATATATATAATGATGTAGAGATGGTTGACCGTTGATATGATATGAGAAGGAGTTAGTTGAGGGTGCGGTCAAATAATTAAAAAAAAATTAAAATATATAAATAATTTTAATTTTTGCCGACGTTTCGACCCACTTTGCAGGTCGTCTTCAGGGCTACAAAAGATTCAAACATGTTGAAAAAATAAAAATAAAATAAAAAATAAATATAAGTATATATAAATCACGAAGAAGTTGTCAGATACAGAAATAAAAGATAAATAAAATAAAATAAATACATGATAAGAAAATAGATAAAAGAAAATAAATACATGAATGTTAACGAATAAATAGATTAAACTATGTTTAATAGATTTTCATTAATAATAGATTTTCAACATGTTTGTATCTTTTGTAGCCCTGAAGACGACCTGCAAAGTGGGTCGAAACGTCGGCAAAAATTAAAATTATTTATATATTTTAATTTTTTTTTAATTCTTTGACCGCACCCTCAACTAACTCCTTCTCATAATATATATATATATATTAATAAAGTATATCAATCAGTAAAAGTTGAACAAAAACATTTATATACCAACATATATAGGTAAAAGTTAAATTTTTAATTTTAATTATAAGAGTTAACTATTTCATTTGACCCCTGGTAAAAACTGATATTATGTGTTATCGATTCATTGCAAATAAATTAAACAAAATCAGAAAAGTCATGAAATATTCATCTTGCTGATGTAAGGCAATCATAACTTACGATTAGATCCTAGCTCTATGCCTCTAAAAAGAGAAGTACGGGGTGAAGAACGAAATCGCGACAAAAGAAGGCTGAAATCTCCTCTACCTCCTTCCCTAGCGCCTCCTTCTTCTTCGGAACTATCCATTATTGGGATGATCAGGTTATGGAACATTTTCCTTCTTCTACCAGTGTACAATTTCCTTTTTCTGACTGCTATCGCCGGATATTCAGCTTTGGCTTGATCCCGCAGAATACCTCTAATCACGCTACGACAAATTTCCTGGAGCTCCAAAGGATTAACTTCAGCTGTTATAGAGAAAACATGTTAAAATTAGAGAATATTAAAAATAAATTTTAATTTTGGAATAAAAATCAATTTAAAATGTTTATATGGTGCAATAAAGGCAAGGATACTTTAAATGAACATAAGATTTTAAGTACAAAAATAAGAGTTGATTTTAATTTAAATGCATTCCTGTACCATGTTACAATTCGAGATGAGGCAGATAATTATTTATTCTATTACATCAGCCGTGGATCGACACTAAACTAGGAAGATCTTTTTGGGGTATATCCAGCTTCGAAAAAGTTGGTTCTTATAATTAGGAGGAAAATCTGGAAGTTGAGCGTGACCATGGCCATCTTTGCGCAACCTTTGTTGATCTCAACACATTACACTTCTTTACAAAGTACTAACCCAAAACCATTCATGAGCTGTAGTGGTACAGTTTTTTTAATAAAAGATTGAAGAATCCAATGAAACAAAGCGAACTTTTTTATTTTCGTACCTAGTAAGGAAAGTATTGTGATTGGGCCAAATTTCTGATGTGTAGTTTACAATGGATCTCTACATTTCAGAGCTCTCCGAGTCCGAAAAACACATTTTCAGCCATTGATCTGTCTGTATGCCTGCACCAAGATTATCTCGAGAACTAGTAGACCGATTTTGTTGCTTCTCTTATTATTTTGTAAGATTTCGACTACTGATGCCTGTGACACAAATTGCTCCCTGCGCAATACCGGCTGCACAATAAGTGAAAAACATATTCTATAGACTGTAGTGCAAAAACGGCTCTAATGATTTTGATTAAGCTTTCCTAAAATTTTTTAATTAATGTCCTTTCAATTTTCGAACATATACTAAATTCCCGAGAAAATTCAGGAAAAAAAGTTATAAAGAAAAATGTTTTGAGTCCTAACTCGCTAAGTATATATTCTATGGTAAAATCAAAGCAGTATTAACGATGATACATCCTATTCTATTTTCTGCACATGTTTCAATTTATTACTTTCCTAGCTGTACTAGGAAGGGAAAGTATTGCGATCGGGTCAAATTTCCATTGAAAGAGCTTCCCGAGTCCAAAAAACAGCTGTTTTAACCTTATTTATAATTTTTTTTTTAGAGGTGATGAAATCCCCTACAAAACTATATAAAAATCGTTCATTTCGGACAACTATTAATGAAGATACAGTTATTCAATTTCTTATGTAAGATTGTGAGTTCAAATCCCGGTGCCAGAAAGAGAAGGGAGAAAAAGAAAAGTAAGTGAAAGTAAAAAAATTTAGTGCCCACATCACACACGTTTCACCATTTCCTCTACTTTTAGCAGAAATTATTTTTTGACAAAACTGTGGTATGGCAAAAAGTTTTTGGTTAGCAATATTAAGAGTGTATTGAATTTTTTATACTGATCTTCCACAAGCCAGTTATATTGCTTTAGTTTATCGAAGAAATCGTACTCAAATCTTTTCTTTGATCAATTTTCAGGAAAATAAATCTAATTCAATTTTTTTTTGTTCCTAATTCAAAGATATAAAAACTTTTCTGAAATAGGTAGGAAAGCCGTGTGAGTGGACACACCAGATTTTTTTGGGGGTAGGAGGAGAGAATTGAATTAATCAGAAGTATTATTTGATGCAAATACAAAAGGTACATCAAGACATTTTTATTAGTCAATTTCAAAATCATACATGTCTGCACCTTGAGAAAATAAGGTATAATTCCTTAGTGCTTAATCAACTAGGAAACATAAAAATATAAGGTCGGGTGATTGCTAACATAAGATTAATGATTTCATACACCTCGGATCACAGGTGAACAAAATAAATGATATTGGTCTGGAAATTAAAATGGGAAAGGTAGCTGCAAACGGGTGCTATTTTGTGCTCCGGAAACACCTCTAAAGTAACCTAATATTAAAGCCAAAAAAAATTCCGATTTATAAAGCTCTTATCCAACCTGTACTGAAACATGGACCCTCATTAAAACTTAAGCTTTGTTACTATATTTTGAAAAAAAAGTAATTAGAAGAATTAACAGGCCATTTTTTTCAGAATGGCTAATAGAGAAGAACAAACATAGAGTTGAAAACTAAGAAGAAGGAGATTGATGCAGTTGAATACATCAAATTAGGAAGGTTATGCTGGGCCAGACATCTTGTGAGGATGGGAGATGAAGAGATTCCTGCCAAAGTGTCCTGGGAGCAAATGTTCGGAGTTTGTCGCAAAGGCAGACCATGAAATTCCCTCGCAGGAAGGAATGCCTCTCTTCAGACGCCCGAGCTATACTTTATATCGGTAATTGGAAGGCAGCTGCACATAGAGATGCTGAAGCAGGCCAAGACTCAACTTTGCGGGCCATAGAGTCAATATATAGATACTTAGATAATTCAAAATCTTAGATATCAGATTTCTATCAACATATAGAAGTATTCTATTTTTCTGTGAACTTTATAGATATTAGTCTTCTTCTCTCAATTTAATATCGAAGAAGGAAGGATGCTTGGATGGAGTATGCATACATGTCCTTTAGTACAATAAGCAGAACTAAATACTAATAAAGAAGATTAATAATATGATAAATTAAAAAAAATCTATTACTTACGTAAATTTACACAATTATTAGTACTGTCAGACCTAGGTAACTGAAGAGGTGCGAATGTAACAGATAATACAGCATTAGATTCCCAAGTATTGTCAGAAGTTCGAGTGATCTGCATTAACTGATCATTTAAAGGCATCACGAGCACACCGCCAATCTAAAAACACATTGTTAAAATCAGTGAAAATATATTTGGTAGTAGACTTGTAACAAACATTTTCTTAGTTATATTAATAAATTGTTAAATGAAAATCAAACATGATATATTAAGCTAAGTTGATGAAGAAAATATGAGGATTTTATTATTAAGATCCTCTGTATGTATTATTTTGACCCAAGAGTTACGCTCTGGATATACACTGTTACAATAAGACTTAGGATCGAATATGGTTGCATTGTGTACCACACACATTTTTAAACACCCTACACTGAAATCAATCTCTAAAACTATAAAATTAAAAAATCTTTAAGACTATATAGTTAGAAAAAGATAGGCGATAAGAAAGATCTTCTGTAACATTGGAAAATGCACCACTATAAACCAGTAGCGAATCCAAGATTTAAGTTTGGGGGAGCTTCAGCCCGAAAGCTTTTATATATAAATAGAAATGATAATTACACGGGGGAAAAAAGAAAGAAACTACCTATATGAAATAGTGTTTAAACGATTCTTGATCTCTGATTTAAAATTTAGTTATACAAACAATAATATTTTTAGAGATGATTTTTTAACACTTTTTTATATAACTGTATATGCATTATAATTCTAAACATAGAACATATTATGATTGTTTAAGTATTTAGGTTAGATCACACACAGTAACAAATATGAACAAATAAAAAAAAAAATCATTTTGGAAGTTACAGCCCGAAAGGTCCTCCCCCCCTTAATCCGCATGTGCTATAAACATATCTCATCAAAGACATTAAAAATGCTTACAATAATAAATAACAAAAGTAATTAATTTACTTTTACCTTAATAAGATTTTTCATATAGTTTTCATGATTCTCAGGACATGCAGCACCACAATAAACACGATCGTATTGCCGAGAACTGCCGTTTAAACATAAACTATTTCCTAAGAGAGTACATCAACAATTAATACACAGCATAATTACTGGGGGGGAGGAGAATTCAAAAACTAATTTGCACCTTTAACAAAGTGAGGTTCACAAAATTCATAACAATCTATAGCTGGTGAAATCTTCTTGAATTCAGTTAATTTAGTGTGGGCATAATCTATAACGTCTTCGTGTAGTTCTACACCATGATTGATACCATAGGGTCCTGAAAAATTCACAATGAAGACAGAAATATTATTTATTTATAATTATCACAAGGAATTCTGATATAGAGGCTATACTAATAATAGTTACGACCTAAAGACTAAAATTGGTAAACTGCATTTGAAATCAAATAATATTAATACCAACGATTCAACCCAAGTTTGTGGGTCATCATCAATGATGAAAAATTTATATCAGAGATATAATATGAAATAACAGATAATAGTTAATAATGATAAATAGTGATGTATAAGTAATAATAACTAATACAGCTAGAATGATGTGAAAATATGATGAGATACGGATGAGTTGATAAGATACAGCCCTGATGATGACCCATAAGCTCGAGTTGAAATGGCAATAAAAATCTCAAAAACTGACTGTTCTATTTATCACCTATGATATGTAGAACAGTAGACTAACTTTCTTCAATAATTAACATTCTCTTTAAGGGATTCATGATATAGCTTTCAAAGAAAATTTTAATTGATCGAAGAAAAAAAAGAGAACAAAAATCCCTAATATCTTATTGCAGTTCTTATATGACAAGTAGGGTTAATCAATAAGACTTAAAGTCCATGGCAGTTTAAGAAAGCCAAATAGTATATACAATGTGCATTGCATGATTTTGAAGATTTCATTCCAATTTTCTAACATCTAAAACTTGTTTTTAATTCGTTTTAATCAACAATTTTTCTGAATTTTTTAAATAGTTTTAATGTCTCATGAATCCATCAAAAACTTATGAACATCGTCCTCTTTTAAACAAATCCATGCACCACTACTGAGTATTAGTCAATTTGCCTGTATCTTTAGATATTTATCTGCCTCTACCTGTTGAGAACTTTACAAATTGTTATGAATCCATAGCAGACTTGCTTGCTCAGCTAAGACATATGTTTTCTTCTAACACTGCACTTAGTACTAGCATTGTGGATATTAAACAAACTGTTATTAGTACCCTTTCACACAATGTGCTAAAAAAAAAAAATCTGTTTTCCTACGCCAGTGATAAGTTATAGTTTGTATTATTGAAGGAAGTTAGTAGACTGTTCTAAATATCATGGATGATAAATAGACAGGGCGCAATAATTGTGAATGTTTTTTATTGGTGCCAACGTTTCAACCCAAGCATGTGGGTCATCATCAGGGCTGAAAATTGTTTAATAAAATGAAAGATACAATATTATAAGACAGAAAATGGTTAATAATTGAAAAAATAGTGATAAACGATACATGAATAGACAAATGAAATATGTAATAAGTTATACAAACTAAAAATATATAATGTATATAATCAATTTGTAAGAAATGTAATATTTACCCTTATTAACCATGTTTCGAGCACTGAAGTTATTTAAGTACCGGCCCTTAGGTAGGCAAGTAAAGCAGGAGGATTTTCCAGATACGCTTTTTAGATAGCAAAGGTAGGTAAACAAAGTCAGAGGGCGGAGGGTAACATGTTACATTTTATGCTAACCCCTGACCTCTGACTTTGTTTCCTTAACTATCTGCATTAAAAGCACACCTGGAAAATCCTCCAGTAACCCTTTTACTTACCTACCTAAGGGCCAGTACTTGAATACTTCAGTGCTCAAAACAGTTAGTAAGAGTAAATATTACATTTATTATAAATTGATTATATCCATTATATCTTTTTAGTTTGTATAACTTATTATATATTTAATTTGTCTATTCATGTATCATCCCTCACTATTTTTTCAATTATTAACCAATATCTGTCTTATAATATTGTATCTCTGATATTATTAAACAATTTTCAGCTCTGATGATGGCCCACATGCTTGGTTTGAAACGTTGGCACCAATAAAAAACATTCACGACTGCGTCCTGACTATTTATCACCCATGTTATAATTTTTAATGAACTTCAATAAATATTTCAATATTATATACTATAATTTACATTACAAATATAAAATAAATAACCTTTGTGCTAAAAAAACCAACTGCTATTCTCTACTAGTTTACCATTGATGCACTTAGAAGGGTAGATTGTTATTACTTTTTTTCCTCAGTCAAATTACAACCAAGTTCAGACCAGAAGTTAGAAGTTGGTTGATATATTGAAACAGTTTAGATCAAGAATCCAAGCAATCAATAAATACAGTCCTTTATACAATGTACTGTATTTGGTAATATGCGGTATTAAAAAACTTTCTGGACATTAGAGTCTAATATCTTTGTATTAAAATAAAGTAGTAATAAATTTCTAATATTCCTTGTCAGCTTTTTTTAAAAGTAAGATATATGCTGGTTTTATGGGATAAAATACTTGTGGTTCTAAGTATTCAACTTGGTAAATCCTTGTAATCCAAATGCATCCTTGAATCAACAAATTTAGATTTAAAACAAAAAATAAACAGAATGCTTGATAAATATTTTGTAAAGCGAAAGAATGATGATCTTCAGACAAACCATTTTGAAATATAAGTCCGTAAAAGGGACAAAACTCATTTGGATAATTCAGGTAACACAATGAAGTACAAATAATATGATTCTAAAAAAAATTTACCAGTCAATTATCATACCCCAAATTCACGATCGTTGCCTGAGTAATTAGATGACCAATTAATTATATCTTCCTCATGATTGAGAGCTTTTTAGATTTAAAAAACAATAATAACCAAATTCTTCCTCTATCATCAATACTTTTTAAAGATTTCTAAAATCTAATAACTAATCCAACAAAAAATTGTTAAGAACAATATTATTACCAGATATTTACATTTGAATAAGTCACTAAATTTTCAATGGTAATCATAACAAGAAGGAATATATATTTATATAACATTGTTTCAAAATAGTTTCTATTTCTCTAAATAATTATGCAATTATCAAAGAGCTTTTGAACTCTTTATAAAATGAAAATATTTTGACATTTCATCAACAACCTAATTTCAGATTGTTATTTGATTGAAACAAATTAATTGATCACAAATGGCTGACAGGGCTTGTTACCATGGTATAGGGTAAAAGAATCCATACATGAATACATAAAAATTAATAAATTGGATCCACTAGTGAACAAATTTTTCTATAAATCGTGTTGTCTATTATAGTTTGATTGCAGAACAAGTATAATCATCATGTTCTGGAGTTTCAAATATATTTAGTGTTGAAATGTTTTAAACGTTCTTATTTCTTCAGGACTTACAATTGATATTTTGTCTAAGACATATGCTGAAAGGTAGAAGATGAATACATAATGAAACTAATGTTTTCTTGTTATCTTCAGATCAATATGTAATAAATTTTAACTTATTTCAACCATTATTAAAAGTTGGACAAATAAGAACATATTATAACTGCTACCTCGTGTTATAAAATAAGTGAATCACTAAGCAATATATCAATATGTACTGCAAAATAAATAGTTATGTTAATTCTGAAAATCGATTATCACCGATATATACCTAAAATTAATCCAACCATGGTACTCAGATAGCCAGTTCCAGAGCCCAAATTGAGGAAACTTAGTCCAGGTTTAAGGTTCAGACTTTCCATGACTTCCCCATAAATACAAGGGGCAGAAAGATGAATGTTTCCTTTTTTCCATGCCAAATCTCGATAGGCACTTTCTAAACAGTCAGGTAAAAAATAAAATCCACGATCAACTGCTCTGAACACTGTTTCAATGGCTGATGTTTTAATATAATCAGCCTCTTTAAGTTTATCAATTAAGTCATCATGATCAACACCAGCACTAACTGCTCCTCCCATTTTATCTAAAATGCAATAAACATTATGTTAGCACCCAAGCCCACATATCAGTAGCTCCTAAATAGTATCAATTTAGATTTTTTGAAAATTAAAATGATTAATAATAAATTTCACTCAATTAACAGCTAAAAACAACACATTTAACACTAATGTGTCTCAAAGCATATACAATTTTATAATTTGCGATGAATATAACTAAAAAGACTAGGTAAAAAAAAACATATTCACAATATGTTGATGACTATAGTTTAAAATGAGATGTTAATTTAAACCTGAAATTCATAAAAGCTATGAGCATCTGCTTACATTTTTTTTTTTTTAATTTTCTATTTAATATAACCTGACAAAACTTTCAATTTGTTAAATTCACTTAATGTAGTAAACAATACATTTCTCTAGCCACAGTTATTATAATTGTTATTACAGATTTATTGATAACAGATGTAAAAAAGGTTAGTTATTAAAAAAAAAAAACCTAATGTTAGTAAAAATGTTCAAGAAACCATAATTAAACATTTTAAGGCCACAGAGTACAATAGTAAAGAAAAATTAAAGATGGGTCTCTTTAAATTTTAACAAGTAGTGATTAATCAAAATAATAATCATAATAAAAAATCAAAATGTAAATTTATTTAGGTACCTTAATGTAAAAATGAAGTAAAATGTAAAATCATAGACCAAAATTTGCTAAAAGAAATAAAATTCTTATTAAGCTAATAGAAGCATTCAAATTTCTCAATTGTGTAACTATTTGTACTTAATAAGGACAGCCATGATAAAAATAAAAAAAAATAAAAGTGTATCTTAAAATGGTCAACTGATCAACTATATCAAATGCTAAATATTTATTACAATCAAACAAAAATATGTCTTCAACTTGACAAGAGAATTTAACTAAAATGACATCAAACTTTTAGCAAAAAAAAGGATAAGAAGTAAGGAATCATACAACTTTACATTTAAAAATAAAGTTAGAAAAAGATATTATAAAAGAATGAAATCAACAATTGCTGGAACTTAAGAATCATAACACAAAGACCCCTCCAAACTATGTATCTGTGAAGTAAGTCGCAGTTTAGTAGCTGTTGTCAGCTGACGTTCAGCTGAACAACAGTATCCAGCTGGCTGTGACAAATATTTTATCGTATTTACTCCTGAAGTAAAAAGTGCATATTCTTGATAAATTTTATCATATAATTGTGAACTTTTACTGCTATACCAAAGCTTCATATGATCAAAGAAGACAGAACTGTATGAAGTTAAATAATGCTGTTATGAAAACCACAACTAAAGAAAGAAAATTAACTTTAAAAAATTACACATGAATGTCCAAGCAGAATCATCCCACTGTTATTTTAAAAATATAATTAATTAAAAAGAATGAAACTCTGAAACATTATTCGTTCCTCACAAGAAAAACTTTTTATGTACTTAAGCAATCCTAAAATCATACGTTTATTTGTAGGACTGGAAGACCTATAAATATTTTAACCTCAAGAAATAATAAAAGTATAGTTTAAGGAAGATTTAGCTTAATGCTCATAAGATAACAAACGGTAAATAACAACCTAAACATAAAAAACTGATAAAAATTTAATAATACAATAAAATATGAAATAACTGGTATGGTTATTAACAACTTGCTCGAGTCAACCACTGATGCAAGATGCTATATGCGTGCATACTTATACATATTTAAATTGTATATCATCAACTACCACTTTGAATTGGATAGTGATATGTATTGGATTTGTTTAATAATTTTTAGACGTAAAATAGCGTTTTGATAAGGTCGTAATTAAATCGAAATGGAGATTCTACTTTAAGCATTTGATTTATACTTTAACAATTTTTATATAATTGATCGATATTGTTCCCAACAGCGACTTTGGCAATACTTGAAAAAGCTTTCTTCTTCGAGCTTCCCTCAAATATTCAGGTTCGGGATTGAAAGTGGTCTTCATGAAATTCTCCATAACCACCAGTGGTGTTTGGCCAAATTCGCTTCCTGATGTCCTGCAACTCAAAACATATTTGAAGAATGTGTTCTGTGTTTTGATCCGCTGTTCTACAACTATAGAGGGGATTTTCTCAAATTTTAAATTTCTCATAAAGGTGCGGTCTCATGGAGGTACGAAGTGCCCTTGAGTAATGAACTTATGTCATTATGTCTATATGACAAAGCTTTAAGAAGTTAATAAAGAATAGGGCCGTCGGTGAGTAGTAGGCGCCCGAGCGAATTTTCACCTGGCACTCTCCCAAACCATTCCAAATCTAGCTAATTTTCTCTTGTTTGCGAGCTATACTTATTATACAGAGATACACCTCATATCAGCTTGTGATTTTTCTAACAACAGCAACTGGAACTGAGGTTAGAAATTAAAATTTCTGCTTGACAACTTAAGTTTGAATACCTAAACGAAGATTAAAAGCAATGGTTTATAAAATCATACTGTTTTAAGAGTGATATCCCTCGTAGGACAACATTGACTACGGCCACTGGACGGCCTGAAATACAAATTTTAAGGTTGCACATCTTTTTTAAGGGGAGTTGCAATTTCAACTCAACGTATGTAGCTGTAGGATAAGTTGGTTGGGCGTGACGTCAGTAAAGAAAAATAGAGAAATAAGTAAACTTAAATTAATCTGCGCCAATGTTTCGGCCTGATAATATTTACACTTTATATAACGTACCTGGAAGAACCTATACATCCAAACTGTGAAACGAAAACTGAAAAAAATTCAATAGTCACTGAAATTAATAAATTGAAAACTTCTTTAATACCGGGTTCATTGAAACACAAGCACTATCATAAGTGTTAGTCATAACTTATTGACTTATTTTCATATATCGTTATAACATCATCGCTGACTACAAAGTCTTGGGGAAAGATTATGACAACTTTAGTTTTTTATTAATTAGGAAACAACATATTTCAGAGAGGAAAAATTCAACGACTTCATTTAAATTCTTGTGGGAAAAAAAATAGGAAACAAACTTAAACGGTGAAGTCGGACTAACAACCTCTCTGGTACGAAGTGAATCGTGACGTATGCAGGAACAGCTTTTCCCTCTTTACAATTATTTAAATAAAATTCACTTGTTTTAAAAATATTAAGAAATCAAAATTACAGAAACTTACTTTGGAAAGATGTCTATAACAAAACTGATGTAACTATAAAGAAACCTGTACAAAACGTTACAATACAATATTAAATGTGAAATTTCAATTATTTATACAACTATTTGAAATTTTGCTAATTGTTACAATAAAAATGATTTATGCTCATATCTGGATCAGTACTAATTATTACAACAAAATATTTTTATAATCGAAGATCAAATTTAAACTATGAATAAGTGGCCACCATTCTTTGTTTTTTTTTCACAATTCGGACGTATATTATACACCGAATTATTTTTATTACTTTATTTTGCTTAATTACTACATTATTTTATTTTATATTTATTTAAGATGTAATGTTATCCAGAGAAGATAACGATTTGCTATATAAATTACATTTATACCAATAGCAAACCAGATTGATTAGATGTCTTGTTCAAAAAACAAATATTCAAATTTAAGTTAAATATATATTGAAAGAGGAATGTTGAATAGTAAAATCACTCTTGTATAGGTTATTGTTCTGTAGTGTTTAAGCGAAAATTTTATTGCTATAGTTGTAAGGTACAAGATGATAAAAATAAGCCCGACTTTCGTTTTGTCCTTTCGAGCTGAGATTAGAGATATATGTGAGTTTCAGCCCATTGTTCTACCTCACCTGCTACGCTAATTTTAATATTGTCATTGTTATAAAACAATACAGATATTTTCTTAATTATCTAGTTATAAATTTCTTCAGTTTACCGCTATCTCGTCATTGCATTTATAATAATCCATGGTAAGTAAACATTTTATGAATTCACTACTGTTAATAGAAATATTTACCGGTTGTCAGGTTGTCACACTTGCCGAGGTTGGAACCGAGTTTACTTGAGTTTGTTAAATTTTTATGATTTTTGAATTAAAAATGACATAATTATGTAATGACCCGGTGGACCTTATTTGTTTATACAGTATGTTGTTCCTAGAGTCTTTGATACATACATGAGTTCGTAGGTACCTATTCTTTAATCGTTCTTAACTTTAATTTTTTATTTGAAAAATATTACTTTGAAATAAATATTGTTTATATACCAATTTTTTTAGTTCCGATTTTTTGAAAAAGCTTACTAATATGATTTAACCAAACTTTAACCCTATGAATAGTCCTTATTTAGTTTACTAACTTGAGAACTTGTTAATGTCAGTTATTTTTAAATCTATTAAAAAAAAATGTTTTACTTCCTGATATTTCATTTAGAACAATAGTGATTGTTTACTAACTGAATTATAGAATATGTATATAAATATATATATCAAATCAGTTTATATAATTCCCTTTGCTTTTCTATTGTAATTGTATTCTTTGATCGTATACTATTAAAATAGGAGTAAGGCCATTATATGTTGTTTAATGAAATGTTAAATGTGGAATCATTATGGGTATATGATTTTTTTCATCTAATATTTTGCTTTTTATTGTTTAGGAAAGATGAGTAGTGATGTTAAGAAATCATCGGACATTGAATCTGTTGCTGTGGATAATATGGGTGGAAATATTGTAGCTGTTCCAGGCTCAACTTTGGGAAATTCAATAGAGAAAAGAACCCTTCCATTGTTATATGTACAGTCTTCTATAAACAAACCTAATATCGGTGACAGCGGTAATGAATCTGTGATACCAATTAATGTACCTAAATTTGGAGCTCCTATTGCTGTTTCCTCTGTAAGTTTTGGAGTCATATATGTTGAAAATAATACTGATACTATTTTTTTATTTTACTTAAGTAATGTATATCAATCAGAACAAATTAATGGTTGGTAGCACTATTTCTAGCAGCTGTTTTAACTCATTATATTTATACTTCTACATTGGAATTCTGTTCTCAACTTAACTACAATGTTTTTAGTATATAGTAGGTACTTTTTTTTTTAAATAGTCTCTTGACTGTTTAATATCAGTAATAGTTTATTAAAGTCTATATAATTAGTTGTATAGTTGTTTTCTTTCATGAATATACATTCTTTTTAAACTGAGCTTATTATCTAATTATGTTTAGTTTGAGGCTAAACAGATATAATAGATATCTGAAATATTTGAGATATTAGTTGTTTACTTCATCTATCACTTTCCTAATAAATAGCTTGCTCAATAGATAATTCTGTCTTTTTAAATTTAGTTATCTTTCTTATTATTTACAATGACATACTTATATGATAATGTAATTTAACAAATTATTTTTTAATTTCCCTTTTACTTTGCTATTTCAGTTAGACTAAACTAAATCCTCCCCATTTCATATAATTTGTTATTTCATTTAACACTTGTCGCAGATTCTCATGAATGTTTAGCCATATATTAAAATTATTAAGAGATGTTAGTTTGTCTCTAGTTTTAATATTATCTATTTGGTATTGAGTTTTTGTTTGTAGATTAATATTCACTTTAATTAATTTCATGACAAATGCTTTAAGTTTAATTTTTGAAATATGAAGATTTGTAATTTAATGTCCAGAATAATAAGAAATTGATATGGCCTTTAAACTATAGCTCAATTTTTAACAATAAAAACAATAAGTAATAAAAATTTATACTATTTATGTATTGAATCATAGTTTTGTTTCATCTTTTGTTGATGGTTAATGATTAACAACCTTTAGCATTAACTATTTTGTATTTCTGACATTCCTTGTTCATTATTTAAAATTAAAGTAATGTATTATACATATATGAGTTTCACATCAGTATATTAACTGTCTCATTCATTAATGACTTCTGTCTCCTATATAATATACAGAACTATAGAGTTCAGGATCCTTCAGACCTGTCAAAAATATCTTATGAATAATTAAACTAAAATAAAGATACTCAATCTATAAATATAAAAGAAAGATAAAAATCATTCTCTGATGGAATTATTGTTCACTGTATCTCAAATATGACAATGCTTATGAAAATGAAATTTTGATTGATAGTTTCCCTCATGCTTAAGATGTACATGAGTTTCGTAAAAATTGTATGCTAACTGGTAAAAAGTATTATTTATAAAATTTAACAAATAAAGATTGTATATATGAAAGGTTAAAAATCAATCTCAAACATGACACTGCATTTAAATCTGAAATGTTGAATGGTAGTTATCCTTAAGATTTTTACCAAAGTAAATTTAAATGTAATGGCAAAAATGAAATATAAACAACTAATTTATTATATATAGGAATTTATTCAACTGTTCATTCTTATAACTATTATGAATTTTTGAAATTCTTTTATGTTGCTTTATTTTTTAAAATTTTTGTTTTTGTTATTGTTTGGTATAATTCTACTACGTAATTTCAAAGTGAAATCTTTATGTTATATTGGTTTTATGCTTATTGAAATAATACAGAAAATCAAAGATAATATTAGAATTACCTAAAGAGTTTTATTTATATTTTTATGGTTTTAACAGATTCTATGTATAGTTTAGTTGTGTCTCTTATAAATTAAAGAAAATTATTTTAAGGTTCCAAATGGAGTTGCTGCTGGAGCTAAGCTTGTTCAGGTCCAAACACCTAGTCAAAACATTGCTTATGTTGGAACTTTGTTCAAGCAATCTAAAGGAAAGGACATGGTGCCACAAAAAGTTCTTTTAACTCCTGTAAAAGGAAAAGAGGTGTCAATGGCTCGACTAATTCTACCTCGCCCATCAACACCATCACCACAAGGAATCATTCCAGGAAAAAAAATTTGTAGGTCTTTTGTAGTCAGTCCAGTAACTCAATCATCGCTTATCAAATCTAATGATTCAACCACAGGCAAGCTTGTTCAACCAAATATTATCAGGTTAGTTTCTCTCCTTATTAAATTTATTTATTGTTCAGATGATGCTTTTTGAAGTTTTAAGTAACCTATTTTATGTTAAACTATAAAACAAAATAATAGGACGATTGTTCTTGAATGGTCAGAAATGACACTTGATTTCAATTGTGCCTGTGATATGATGTTGCAACAAATGAGCAATTTGTCACCTATTTTTTTTTTTTTTTTCATTGAAGAGTTATAATCATATAATCATTTCTGTACTTTATGTGAGAAACAAATTCGTTATTAATGAACACTAGCGGATCCAGGATTTAATTTTGGGGGAGACTTCAGCCCGAAAGATTTTTTTTTTCATATACATAATTCTATAATAATACATCATAACAATAATTAATTTGAAAAAAAAGAAAGAAATTAACTACCTATATGAAAATATTTTTTTCTATAAAACATGGTTATATTTTACCATTTTGGGGGTGCTTCACCCCGAAAGCTCCCTCTCTTCCCCCCCGTAGATCCGCCTGTGTTAACGAATGATTTATTTCAGGATTTCTCTGATAGTTATAATTTAATGTACACTCAATGTCAAAATGTTAGACATGTCCATTGAAATTAAAAGAACTTTTAATGTTTTATTTATTTTTGATTGATATTATTTTTTTAAGCACAGTTTAAAGTGTAAATTATGATATTGAAATAAGGACAATCTTCTCAGACCTTCAGGATTATTTAAATCCAATATCATTAAATAGTGACATTTTATAAGCGTCAAAATGATAAGACACACTTGTTGTGGTTTACTATTTTCTTAATCCTCTAGAGCTGAAATCGTTGAATTCACCATTTCTACTTCAGTGCAGTGTTGAGTTTGTCTCAAAATAGACTTAAAAAGAAAGTGAGGAATGGGAAAAAATAAGTGTTTCTCTAAAGAAGAGTGCCCTTTTGATTTCTTCATTCCACAAGGACGGGATGAGTTGTAGGGAAATAGTCCGCCAATGGGAGGAGAAAAAGTTATGGTTTGGGTATCAATTGGTTACAAAAAGAAAGGAAATGTGGCATTTGTTTCATCAAGAGTAAATTCAACTGAATATAAAAATTTTTTAGATGAACAAAAGTTGACTTGTTATTACATGTCTGAAGGCACTCCAGTTTTCATATACATTCAGCAAAACTTATTAAATACTAGTTTACTCGCAACAAAATTACCAAATTAGACTGGCCTGCTGTCTCTCCAGACCTGAACATTATCGAAAATGTTTGGGGAACTCCTTTAAGAAGGGTGTACTCTAAGTCAAGACAGTTCGAAACAATCGAGGATTTGAAATCTGCAATTCTGGTTGCATGGAAACAATTACCTCAAGAAACGATCAAACAATTGTAAGATTCATTACCAAACAGAATTTTTGAATTGATAAATAGTGATAAAAGGCCACGAAGTATTAAAATGAGTTTTATTTATTTTTGCCAGGGAGCGTGTCTAACATTTTGTCAGGCCTTAACTTTATTTTGAAAAATAAAAAAAAAGTATATATTTTGTTACCAATCTGGTCTATCTGTTCTTCATAATACCTCTCTTTCGGTTGTGAATAGAATTTGGTGACTCTGTTTTTAACCTCATTCAGAGAATTAAAGAGTTTTCCTTGAAAATACTGAGCCATTAATGGAAATAAAGAAGTGTGATCCTATGTAGTTCGGAAAATCTTTTGTTTTATTTTACAAGAAGTGTGTGGTGGGGCATTATCGTGTTGAAACAAAAGTCGATTTCCGTTTATTAATCCTAGGTAATGCTGAGTCACAACATCATACATTCTTTTTAACTGATCATTGTCAACTTTTGAATCAATGATTCAACCTTGGAGTGAATTGGACTTTAACCATTGTTTGTTGATCTTTAAGTTTTGCCAATAAATTTAAGTTTGCATTTTTGCAATTTTTTTTTTTTAATATCTACAACCACTCTTGCTGTGCTATTCACCTTCCCAAGTTATGCAGCCCACAATTTATGGTGGACTGGTAGCCTCTTATCTCTCTTGCTAATTCACAAGTACATTTTATTGGGTCTGTCTCAACAGAGTACAGCAGGTTGTTCTGAACGGGGTCACATGGCACAGATTGTACCATCAAAATTTTTGAGTGGGTCATGAATTTTTGAAGAGAACTATATTTTTATGTGGTTTCTATTTGGAGGAGGGATGTCCTGACTTCCCCAATTCTGAGAAATTGGGAGTTCAACATCATTGTTCTTATTAGTAGAGGTGCTTTAAATAATTTCTTATGATGGACTTTGATTGACCAACTGTGAAATTATACATCTATAACTTATTTCCAGTGGCTTAATACCAATATACCTCAATCTTGGCCAAGGAGGGTAAGAACTGCAGTTAAGAACCAAATTGAGGATGAACAAGCAGGCTTTTGTCCATGTAAGCTGACTCAAGACCATATCTTCGTACTAGGACAGAGAGAAGAATATGTATATAGGCATGCTTTGAATTTAAAGCAGTGTTTCACACAGTTCCTCGAAAAGAAATATAGGATGGTTCACCTGTGAAAAATGTTCTAGATAATTTTATCATAGCAATTGGATGAAATCCATAAAATTTGGATCCTAACTCCTTGGAGGGTGATTGGTTAACAGACTATGATGAATGTTATGGTTCAAAGCCTATTATACAACAACATTATATATGAGAAACAAGCTGCTCTTGGCCCTTAAAGAATGGCAGGAAGAATTCTTCCGCATAGGAATAACTATTAAGACCTTCAAAAGCAAAGTCTTAGTTCTATCCAGAGAGGAACGAGAGGATGTCCTGGTGATTTTTAATGGGAAGGTGCTTGAAGTTGCAATGCCTATTTGTGGATAGTCATTACCAATATGGGGAAGATCGAGTCAGAAGTTGCAAAAGGATTTCCACAGCCGAAGAAATCTATTACCCTATCTGTGGAGCACAGAGATGTGGTAGTAAGGAAATTAAAATACATACAAGTCTGTATAACTCCCAACCCTCATTTATGGTGGTGAAAGTTAAGTTATGCTGGATCCAACTGGATGATAGGTGGTAAAATAGAATTCCTGGCAGGAAGGAGTGGCAACATCAGGCTTGTACTATTTGTCAGGTGTTGTAAGCTTGATTTTGCAGCCTCTTTTTTCACTCCTTCTCTCCTCTCCCTTTGAAGTCATTGGTTATACAACAGTATTTTCGGTCAGAATTAAGTATCTACAAGTATTTTATAACTTGTCACCAGAATTTATTATATATTGTGGATATCGTTGTTCGTATCTGTACAAGAAATTTCTTAAACAAATGAAATCTTCCATATTTGTTTTTCATATACGAGAATGTTAACAGAAGATGTATGTTACGATAAAGAACATAGTAATTCTTTTATTTATTTATTTTTCAATCCGTTTCTGCCTACCACTATTTTTAGTTTAGCTACCTCTAATGCATCGGGCACCACAGAAAGCTTGAGCACCACTACCTCAGGGGAATTAAGTTCCAGTTTATAGATACTAGGTGTCCGCCAAAGGGGTCTAAACATGGATAATAGAACCAAAAATAATTCTATTACTGCAGCCAAATTCGCACTTAGGGTTTCAAGTCATGGCTTTTGAACAACCCCTATTCCATATAAAATAAAAATAATTTTCTTCTTTTTTTTTTAATGTTTATTTATTACATAATTCAATTTAATTTTCCGGGATTGGTCAGTGAAATGTGATGAGGATTGCTATTTCAAAATGTCCCCTAAGATCATAAGTATACCATTGTTGTTTAGTTAGTTATGAACTTTTTATGACTCAAAACTGTGTTATTTAATTAAATATTTTGTAATTTTCTTAATTAAATAAACAAAGATAATTCAGGTACATATATATATATATATATATATATATATATATATATATATATATATATATATATTTTAATTATTACTGTGAACTGGGATTACTTTCAGACCAGAGTAAAGGATGACTGTTCAAGAGTTGATTTTTAATTTTAAATTACTTGATATATTGTTATATTAATAGCCGTTTGTCAACTTCCTGTATTTTTTTTTTTTAAATAAAAATCCAGCCCGCTATTGAATTTGAAGTTTAAAATTGTTTACAGTATCACTCCCTGTTCTCATAGTAAACCAAGTTTAAAGTATGCACTATTATTTATTTGGAATTATTTTCTTTTTAGGCCCAGAGGAGTTGAAGCTAAAATATTAACAAATGCTGTTATCAAGCCAGCAACTGTTACAAAAGCATCGGTCCCACCTGGATTGACTCTTGTAAAGAGTTCTCAGGTACAAACTCAATGTCACGCCGTAGCCGGGGCTGGAGATAAGGCTCAGATGAAAGTAATATTGGTTGATATGAAAGAAGACGTTAGTGAAAAGTGTGATGTAAAAATAAATGAAGCAACTAAAGCTAACAAAGCTAGCACGACTGATGATAATTCAAAAAATGAGAATTCAAGTACTTCCAATGATGTAGTTACCATAGAAGATGGTAAGAGAAAATAATATTTTCACTAATTTTAGTTATGAGTTTTAACACTGTTCTATAATTGTAAGTGCATATATGAACAAAATAATTGTTCAATGTATTTTTAAAAAATCTTAAAATCTAAGTTTTGTATTTTTTTATATATTAAGAATAAAAATTCCACAGATTTTTATGCATTACGATTTTAATACGATATATATATATAAATGAAAATGATGGTGAGGCTGCTTGATTAATTTTTCAAATGCCCCTACACTGAATAATGAGGATGAAATGAATAATTAATGGTTCACTCTACCTAGAAATTGTTCAAAAAGCTGCACGTTTTTGTAAATCATTTCATAACTTATTTTCTTTCACTTCCCTATATTTGTAATATATAGTAATGGAAAGTATTGCGATCATGAAAATTTTTGAATCTAAGTTTTCAACAGAAATACTTGTTTTAAGTTCTCTGAGTCCAAATAAACAAGTCCCTCAAAATGATGTGTGTATGTAAGTTCCGTTGCCAAGGAGGACTTTGAACTCTGGCATTAATCCTCTGCCCTCTTCCCTGACCCGAAAAAAACCTCTTAGCCTAAAATAGGGAAGAGAGAAAAATAAAATTACACCAACATTCATCAATTTGATTAAATTTTCCTGGATTATGAGGATTGATTCCGTCCCATGATACAGTCCTAGTGTTTTTATAAAATTTCTACTAGTTTTCCCTCAGGTGTGCTTTTTTCTTTTCCTTAATCAGATTTTATTCTCAAACACTTTAAAATATATTTAATTATGTAACCAATTGAAATGGTGAGGAAGCTATACTTGACAGACTTTTTTTTTTCTCAATCAATTTATGGGCCCTAAAAATTAGTTGAAAACATAAATATTAAATATCAGATCACCTTAGCTTACATGCTATAGAAAAGTACAAAGCAAGTCCTAAATAATTCTTTATTTAATTTCAGATAATGAAAAAACTGAGAAGCCGTTGATGAAATCTACTGAAAGTGAAACAGAAGTTGCTAAATCAGTTGCCACAAGCTCGTAAGAATTTTTCATTCTATATACTAGTATTTATGGCCTTTGTTTACTTAACTAGAATGTAATGGTTTTGTAGAAATGATAAAATTTTGGTAAAAAATTACACAGTGCAGTTATTCCAGTGTAAAATATGGTACATTTATCAAATTATACCATCTTAACCAACTTGAAATTTCTGTACTATTTTATGTACCATAATTTTGTTTGACTTTAATAATGATGGTAGTTTTTGTAAACATTATAAGGAAATTACATTTATGAAATTTTTCTCATGTTAAATACTAAGTGGGTTCCAGTGAAAATAAAACTTTAGATTTTATGCAATTTTTTTTTTCATAATATCAATTCAATTTCATTACAGATATTTAATGGGAAAATTTAATTTCATGAATGCATCTCTATTTTTAAGGGTCAGACAAAAAAATAAGATAAATAAATAGGTTTATGGTCGAGGCAGACATTGATTAGTGTTGGGTGTGTTAATGTAATTATTTCAATATTTATAACTGCACTGGTAATCATATAAATATTTAAATATAAACTAGTAACGAACTAATCAAGACACAGAACATAAATGTTAAGTTATAATTTATTATAATTCCAATTCATCCAGTCTTATGTCTCCAAAAGGCAGGTAAAGAGAAACCCGTCATAAGGCTGTGTGGTTTGGAATTTTTCTAATTATAACCTAACATATAAATAGTGATTCAGGCATCATTAATTATAATCTTGTTTTAATTTACAGTTTAACATTTCAATTAATTTCATTTTGTTTTGTTTTATAGTGAAAATGAGAAAACAGTCAGCGACAACACAGTAACCAAAACCACAACACAGTGGGATGAAAAGGAAAGCAATTCACCATTTCAAAGTACCGGAGACAGAGCTCGTAAGAGGAAAGGTTCTCTCATTTCTTCCACTGCTGGTACGCCCAAAAAAGTTTTCATCGGAGATCCTTATGAAAACTTAAAATTATTTCCGGGAGGCGAAGAATATGATCCATTTAAGATCATAGATTGGGATAGTCAAGGGCTTGGAAATTTACCTGATAGTTCAATCAAAGTAAGTGTATTGATATATTTATATTATATTTGTAGAAACTTTTTCTTTTTTATAAAGGTTGAGTAATAATAAATTAAAGTATTTCCATTTTCCAGATTTGATATTTTTTTCTGAATTATATTTTCACTTTTATTTGCTTGTAAGTCAATTTAGTAATAATTGAACTGAAACCGTTTGCCAAACTTATTAATAGATTGTGACTTAGGCAATTTTGGGGCATATTATATGCTGAAGAATAGGATAGAGATTCTCTGAAACGTTCATTGATAAATAATCAAAAACTGAGTGTGATTAGTTATTAGATTGACCTATAGGCAAATAATAGCGAAAAGAAAATATAACTATGTTTCATTTGTTGTTTTATGAATAAAAACTTAGCCAACTCAATATCAAATCAAATTTAATAATAAAAATACGCATTACATCCAAATAGTCCTACTTTATTTTTTCTTGACATCCAACTTTTGAGCCCTTAGGCCATTTTGAAGAGAAGAAACCTTTAATAAATAAAACAACCACCACAGCCTAATTACATTTTCTCATTAATCTTTTCATAGTTATTTTAAAATAAAAATAAATTCATATCGGCTGAATCATCCTTATCACAATAACTTAATAGTCTAATACTAAAATCTCCATTTATAAGGGAAGGTTATGTTTATTAGAACCTCTTCACATGTCGTTTTATTCATTTTAAACTACTTTTTTCTAAATAAAAATTACATTATTACATTATCCCTATTTATTGTTAAACTATTTTAAAAACTTTATACTATAAATAATAACAAAAATAAAATGTTTATTAGAGATGATCGATGGTGGACTGTGCAGTATATCAGGATTATATATCTGAGGAATTTAACTGATCACTTGACGATCCATAATTCTAGAATCAATAAATACTTTAATACTTTTATAATTATTATTGTTGCATTTGAGAAATGGAATACCCATTATCCTTTTTACCCATTTAAATCTTTTCTGAAATTCCTCTGGCTGTGTAGAGGACCCTCAAGATATTTCAGGCTTTCAATGAAACTGATTACATGTTTGTGATTTTAAAATTTCATTTCTTGATTTGTTTTATCTGTAAATGGTCTGTGAGAAGTTATCAAATTTTATCTTACGAAATGAAATGCAAATAAAATTTTTCCTCCTTATTGTTCGAAAATTTTGTCTATTTATATTTTTATATTTCTACATACATAAATATAATACTCAAAGGTTGGTTGATTGAACAAATTTTCAAATTTTGTAAAATTATATATATATATAATTTTACATATATATGGTATATATGGTTGTCAATAAATAAACAACTATATTCTGACGACATTTTCATACTTATAATTGTTCTCATATTGATGCCAATTGTTGAAAATTTAATATTCATTACATTTGACAATTTAACAGATATTTTAATTTTATTACAGATAGTCAAAAATGAATTTGATATGGTGGAGCTTCTTGATGGCAGTGATCCAACAGGTATGTAAACACTGATGTTTCATGTATGATTTAATGTTTGTCGTGTTCTTGATCGGTATTGACTACTTAGTTGAATTTAACTGATAAAAAAAGTTCCAATTGGCTCAAAACTAGAAATAAGTGTGGTGGGGACTAGGGGGTGTCCTATATGTCACCTGTAACATATATGATTACAATATTAACAAACATGTTAATGTTGTAGTATCTCTCAGCTCTAATTTATAAAAGCTAATATAATACATTTTAACCTGGGGGTCGCTGTGGTAGAGCGAGTTAAGACACCTTCAAAAATTTTATATCAAGTATTTAAATCCCATTTGTGGGAATTAATAATACAAAAGAAAAAAAAGAAATAAAATAATTACTAATAAATTAAAATTAATAAGTGCAGACCCTACTCGATTACTTAGACCACTACATTGCGAGTTCGATTCCCGCATGGAGGCGGTAACGTCCCTACCCTGAGATTCATAAGGTATAAGGTGAGCGATTCCTGTATCTTACACCGTAGCTCCTGGTCCTCCAGATTGAGGATTAGATATAGGGCTGATAATCCCTATCCCATAAAAAAAAAACTGGGTGGAAGATTGAAACAAAAGATTGCCAACCATCCTTCAGGCAAGTCCCTGATGAATAGGGAGTGAAATGTGATCACATCCTCTTAGTAAACCGTGACATTCATTCATAGTAAAGCATCTCATCCCTGGATATCTCGAAGATGGGAGAACCGAATGATCACTACTGTGACCTATTACAGCCCCTAGCTGCTGAAGAAGACTCATGACTTAAAAGTTGAAATCAATAGGTGTAAGAAAAAACAAAAAACATTTTAACCTAAATATTTTATTCAGATACGACAGGGTGGGAAAAAAAAGTGAAAAATATTTCTTGGGTAAAAGTTTGGAAGTCGGAAATGCTATTGTAAGCTAAAAAGTATAAGAGATTTTTTAATTTGATTTTTAATGCACTAAAAACCCAACAAATATGCAATAAAAACTGTCAAATATGCAATTAAAAATCTCCAACATCTAAAATATTCTATTGTGTTCTACAAAACATTTTTTACTAATAATAATAAAATAGGGGAAAGATTAAAAATAAAATAAAATTAGATGAGAAGGAGTTAGTCGAGGGTGCGGTCAAATAAATAAAAAATTAAAATATATTAATTATTTTAATATATATATATATATATATATATTAATTAATATTTAATTATTTAATATATATATATATATATATATTAATTATTTTAATATATATTTAATTATTGTAATATATTTTAATTTTTTATTTATTTGACTGCACCCTCGACTAACTCCTTCTCATATTATATCAACGGTCAACCATCTCTACATCAAAATAAAATTAGATTGTAATCTAGTTTTCATTTATTCTTTTGTTGGTTTTCCTAATGTAAAAAATGAATTTAAATTTTCTTAATAGCATTCAAACCCCCAGCATGTCATGTGTAAGGTTACTGCAACCACAAACATGTAATTATCATTATGACATGATGTATTGTATATAAATGTAAATAAATGATAATTTCTAAAAAAAAATCATTATATGTATATTGACCAAAATAATTAGAATATTATTTGATAAATAAATACACTAATTAAAGAAAACTAGCAATGGTTTCAACTTCAAAAATTAATTAACATAAATCATATACAAAATGAACAAAACACCTATGGATTATGAATTAGTAAGAGATCTGATCTGACCTAAATTAATAAAGGAATTTCTAAAGTTGTTTCTGAAAGTCTAATCTTCTGTCATTATATAAAATTCTTTGCTTTATTCTTTTATTTTTCTTATTATAAGAAAATTATGTTTATATTATACAAAAGACATGGAAGTGATAAAAGCACATTTGTACACTCTTAAAATTATTGACTTGTTTTGAACAACAGAACTACGCAGTAGCATTATTCTTTAAAATTATTTTATTATTTTTATTTAATTTGAAATAATTAAACTATGCAGTTATATACATTTGGTCACCAGATTAAAAATTGCTTAAAAACAAAATATGCAATTGCATAAAAATTCGGGTCTTGGTTATAACCTAATCTTCAACGACAAATAAAAATTGATGCAAGTGTATGGTGTACATCCCTGGGTAATTTTTTAATCTTGCAATAATTCTATTACAGCATTTGTATTAATAATTTTTTTTTCATCTTTTCAGATAAGAAGAAATCTGATGAAATATATTGTTGCCTTTCGTGTGGTTGTTATGGCTTAATAACAGAGTTTTACAATGAAAATTATTGCAGCATGGGCTGCAGGGATGACCTGATTGCTGTTCAGCATTCGATATTTAGTAAAAAAGATTCTGACGTGGAAATGTCGGATTCGAATGATAAAAAGAGTTCTAATGATAATGTGGGAGTTAAAACGACTGTGACTGCTAACGACTCAAGAAGTTCTGACAGAAAGATGTCGATTGATGATGAACTTCCTTCATCAAAATCAACTGAAGCTGATATAATAGACCTCATTGATGCAAGTTCTCCTGATTCCGAATCATCTATTAAAAAAAATATAAACGATGATGTTAGACTTACAAAAATTAAGAAAATAATGACAAAAGGTTGTAAAATTGGTCGTAAGTCAGATTTGGTTAAACCTGCTAGTCAACATTCGCCAGAGAAATCAGAAAAACAGACTAAAATAAAATTGAGGCCGAGAGTTAGTGGAAAAATGAATAAATCTTCATCAACTGAAGATATCATTGCACAAGATTTAGATTTGGGATCATCTAACAATGATAATGTAAATTTTATTTATTTATTTTTTTGGATTTTTATTTTATCTTTTAATGTATTTATTAATTTTCTTTTATCTTTCCTTTTTCTTAACTCAATTTAAATAGGATAGCCCAAAAAAGAAGTCTCGCTTCCGATGGAATGCTTATTTGAGTGAAACAAAATCTTCAGGTGCGTGGGTGAAATTATTCAACAATCCATTCCCGTCTCGACCTAACAGGTTCAAGGTTGGGCAAAGACTTGAAGCGATCGATCCTGAACACCAGTCCAACGTCTGCTTAGTCTCCGTTGCTGAAGTCAAAGGTAAATTTTTGCTTCACTTCAACTGCCGCTCTTCATATTTCCTTATTTTAAGATAATATTCAATTGAAAATTTCATCTTTTTTCTCCCACCCCTGTTTCTTTTTTATTAAGATTTTTTGTTCCTCTATAGCCCCTCCTAATTTATTCTGAGGGTTTAGAATTTATATGTGAATTGAACTGCCATTGAAGAAGTTTTTTTGGGGAGGATGACAACTTTTTTTTCTCTGTCCTGCCATTTTGATAAATTGAATTCATAAACAAAATATAAAATTTTAAAAAACGAAATATAAACAAGATAAAGAAATTCAGTCCTTCAATTTATTTAAAGTCCTATTAAATTTCTTGAGGTGAGCATTAATAACTCAATCAAATCACTTTCCCAATTAAACTGAGGGAACAACATTACCTCCGAGAGAATTATAATTTTTGTTCAAATAATTCCTTTAGTAATTATAACTGTCTTCATAAAATTATTCTACTGATAAACCAAGCAAAATTTCTAATATGTTTTAATTTTTTTACAGGGTATCGTTTGAAATTACACTTCGATGGTTATCCAAAAGACTATGATTTTTGGGTGAATGCAGATAATCCAAATTTATTTCCTTCTGAATTCTGCAATAAACATAAGATTCCTTTGCGGCTTCCGCCTGGCCTCAGTTCTAAACATTTTGATTGGGATGCTTACTTATCCCGAAATAATGCAAAAGCTGCGCCTCAGTCTTGCTTTGAGAATAATTCTTCTAATTTGGTAAGTTGAAATTCACATGTAATTTACGCATTAGTTCTAATATATTATCCAAGTATTCGTGCTATTTTTAACTGTTTGCTTTATTTTTAGGATCAAGTTAATCTTTTCAAAGTTGATATGAAGCTGGAAGCAGTTGATCGTAAAAACACTTTCCTTGTTTGCGTGTCCACTGTTGCTGCCGTTATGGAAAATCGTATACTTGTGCACTTTGATTCTTGGGACGATATGTACGACTACTGGGTGGATATATCCAGTCCATACATCCGTCCTGTTGGTTGGTGCAAAAATGCAAACCATGAACTTACACCTCCAAATGGTAAAAATTACATCTTATATATTTTTAAGTATCTTATACATGTTCAAACATTCTTTTATGCATTGTCTTTCTGTTAAAGAACGATACCCAACCTACCATCCATATCTGTTGGCCTATCTTTAAAGACTTATTTTCTGACACTGTCCGGCAATATTGCAACTTTTGTTTTTAATTTCAAGATTAAATTTTTATGTCATTTTAATTTCATACTAAATTCTAATGAAAATTAATCCAAATTGGGCAAAAATACTTCATAGAATAAAAAAATCAATTTTATTCGGAGACTATGTCCCTTAAAAATAACTAAAAAAACATAAATGAAGATCAATTCTGGCCATAAAATCGATTACATAAGCAGAAATTAAAATAAACATATACGTATAAACATTGTTATATAAATAATTATATTATATCTTCATATCAGAGGATACGAATATACAATATATTTAGATTACATTTAAACCTTAAATTATCGGTTTTAAAACATTTAAATTTAATATGGAGTCATTTTTATTATAATTTTGTTTTTTTTAAAACGACGTAAATTTAAACTTGCAGTAATTTTTTTTTTCTTTTTCTCGCCTTTTAGGATATATAGGGTTTTAGGTGGGGGAAGGGGATTGATGCCAGAGCTAAAAGTCTCCCAACACCAGGATTGAAACTCGTAATCTTCAGTTTATAAGGGTGCCAGGCAAAGTGTGATTTATATAAGGCATTATCCCTTTTGTTCGACCCGTATCCCAAAATTAAATAATAAAAAAAGTATTAATGTAAGACTGTATCTGCAGGTTAGTCATTGTTCTACTGTGGCTAACAAATATGGAAGGTAGATTGGGTCCTAAGAATTTCCTCAATCCTCTGGATTTTATATTTAAATGGAAAGAAAGGCTTTAGCGATTATTTATATTATAACTCCTGCAAATATGGGATGAAAATATAAATAACAACATTTAGTTAAAATTCTATTTTAATATGATTTTCTGTTTGGAAATAATAAACCATAATGTAATAATTTGCTTCTTTTTTTTCTTTTTATTTATACAAAGTTGTTCTTAAATAATTTAAAATTTATCAAAATCTTACTGTCAGTATAATTCATTTATCGATGTTCAATTGTTGATTTTTTTAATTTATGACTTACAGGGATAAAGCTTGAAGATTTCAGTTGGAAGAAGTATTTGAAGGAAACTAGGTCTGTTGCGGCTCCTGAAAAAGCTTTTGTTTTGAGGCCCCCTATCGAATTTAAAAAGGGACTAAAGATAGAAGCTGTAGATAAAAGAGCGCCTCATTTAATACGTGTCGCTACTATTGCCGAAGTACTTCCATATCAGGTGAATTATTATTATTTTACAGTTTTTTTTTTGTTTTTTTTAATTTTAAAATCACTTAATAAATTGGAATGAAACTAAAAACATAGAGTAATATTTTTAATTATTACGAATACAATTTTTACATCTTTTCGCTTAAATTTATTTTCAACATTAATCAATATTTTGTCAAAATTTGTACTTCATCATGAGGTCGATCACAATGTTTAACTGTAGTAGGTTAAAACAAATATTTTCATTACTTCCATGGATTTCATATTGTGATTTTTATTACTATTATTAAACTATAATCAAACACTCCATCAGTTTTACTCCAGTTATACGAAATCTAGTAACTATATAACATTTAATAATTACTAACAGAGCTTTGAAGTTACTCTTTAGTGTCTAGCAGGTCAATCTGTGAATTTCTTTTAAGACTCTCTTAGAAGGTCTTTTAAAGACTTTCAATTATTTTCTAAAATTCCATGTAAAGAATAAAAAAAATTGATGATTAAGACGGTTATATTATTCCCAAAAAAAATTTTGTTTTTCTTTTTATTACATATTTCATGTAAACATTTTATTTATTTGGATCATACCTATAAAGCATTACTTATTAATTATTGAAGTTCTCATTTAATTAAGATCATTTCTCATTGCGCAGGTGAAAATTACATTTGACGGTTTCCCAGCACACTTCGGCTATTGGGTCGATGATGATTGTTCTGATATACATCCAGTTGGTTGGTCTTCAAGAGCTGGACACCCTCTGGAGCCGCCGCCAGGTAAATAAATATTTTTCTGTTATCTTGCTTATGTTGTTTTAATATTAACTTATTATTTAATATATGTTTTAAATATAGAATATACATGTGTATAATTGAATATTGTTTGATTAGCTGCAGATGACTTCCTCAATTCAAGTTGCCCAACTCCGGGTTGTATTGGACAAGGATATTTCCACGGAACAAAGAAAGAATTTCACAAGCTGGCGAAAAACTGTCCTTATACAACTGAAAATTTAGTAAAAGATTCTGCGCTTTCAGACAGGCTCAAATGGAGTACCAAGACGATGAGAAGGTGAAATTCTATTTTGCATCTTCCTGTTATTATTTAGTAAATATAATATATTTTATATAAAAGTTTTTAAAATTCAATTGCAGGCTTTGAAAACAGAAGTTCTAGATACAAGTTATAATTTTTTTTTTTTGTCAATAGTATTACTTTAAAGTATTTTTTAAACTTTGAATCTCATAACAGTCAAGGAGAAGAGTTTAGGGAACTTGTACGGGAACTGGTAAATGTGCCTAATTCTAATCGGGCTTTAAGTATTGTTGTGAAACAGTGTGCAAGCAATTTTTTTTTATTTTGCCCACCTCTTTCTCGCCTTTTAAGTTTAGGCCATACTGGGTTTTGCCTGGACCAGGAGAAAGGGTGGAGATTAATGCAGGAGTTAAAAAGCCCCACTCTCTTCTGGCACTGATATGCTAGTTGTTATTATTTTATCATGTAAACTTCGTTTTATCAGGTTGCGGTGCAATACCCGTTTTACACATATGTTAGCCTGCTCAGCTACCCATCCCAATGTGGCAAGCAACTATTAGCCCCTTTACTGATGTCAAGAAATCCTTTTATTTTGTTTGGCTAGCTCCTAGAAGTATCTGTTCAACCGCGGCCACTCTCCAGACAAAAAAGGTTCAATGTGCTAATCCAGGATATGAATCAAATTCGTTAAACACCGGAACCATTTCTTTAATTGCTAGTCTACATCACTCACTTGGCTATTTTCACTGGTTTTATTTAATTCAATTGATCAAACATTATATATTTAAAAAAAATCTTATTCTATTTATCAAGATAGAACAAAGACATTAAATATGTTTTGTTTTTCTTTTGCATTGTAAAACTGAGCTTGATGTTAATTTTAAAATAGTCATGAACGAGATATCTTATTTTTATTTTATTTTTAGGAATTCTGATGAAGTTATAAATTTGTCAGATGATTCAGCTGAGGAAAGTGATGATGAACCTGCAGAAATGCAATGGTATAAGAATTTAATGTTTATTTATTTATATATTCACTTGGTTGACTGACTTAAATTTATTATTTTTTATTTGTTCAGAAAAAATGTGAACATCTTAATAACACAAAGCTCTAATGATTAAATATTTGCTTCCTCATTACCGAAGGTTGGGAAGCATTGTATTTGTGCAAGAGGTTAAAGAAATTTTTGTGATAAGAATCGAAAATTTCCATGTATGTCTGTAGTCAAATCGATGCAACAGGCATTTCACTTACTTCCGCTTAACCGATTTTCAGAGATTGTCTGGGTTGTTACCTAGATGGTACCAACTGATTTTTTTAAATATGCCAATATTAAATAAATGGCTCATTTGATTAGACCCAAAGTTAGATAAAAGATGGATATCGGTAAAAAAATAATGTACTATCAAATTTATTGAATTCCGCTATCTACTTTCTCATTTATTTGCCCAAACATGTTTTCTTGATATGTCTATATTTTTAAAACTGCTCGTTCGATTTACCTCAAATTTGAAGGAAAGTTAGGGTTTGTTAAAAAGATAATGAAGTATGTATAAATTTTATATCTGTTTGAGAAATGAATTAATTTCGTTTAATATATGTGTATATTATTCTTAGATTATAGAAAAATATCCTTTAATTTAGCCTCAGTTTTATTTTATCATTACGAGGAGCTTTCAGTGCATTTCACCGTATTATTTGATTTCTAACCTGTATCCATTCAATTGGATGTCGTTCTATCAATTTTTTTTCCTAATCATTCATTGATTGTCGCACTGTTTATTAAAATTATATTGATAGAGGAGAGGGAGAGTACTTTTTCTTCCTATAATAATACTTTTGTATAACATATTACCACAGTGTGACCCTTTAAGGATGGAAAAGGTCCTCTCTCCTCCAATAATATATTTTTAATAAACAGTACAACAATCAATGAATAATTGGGGAAAAAAATTGATATGACATCCAAGAGGATTGATACAGATTAAATAGATAAATATGGTGCAATGAAAGCTACTTGTAACAAGAAAATAAAATTGAGGTTGAATTAAAGCAATTTTTTTATAAATTAACCTTTTATGGGGGAGATGACTTCATTTCCTGGGGATGCCAAATTTTTAAACCTCGCACTGAGTATACCCAACTATTTAATCCACTTAGTATTAAATTGATTATTTAATATGAAAATGACCTTAACACCATTTTTGCATACTGTTTAATATAATTAATTATTACAATTTTAGGTGGATAGGTACCATTGCTCATAGCCTAAAATGTGGGCGAAAGACCATAATGATTTTGACATTTATTTAACATTTTAGGCAATTGCTTTTAGCTTGCCTAAAATTGTGCGCCTCAATTTCTTATGCTTTGCCACTTAACCCGCATTATTAATGCTCTTTTTTCTTTATTCTTTGAAGTAGTATGAGCCCAGTAAAGTGGAGCTCATACTACTTCAGGATTCGGATTTAACGCTTTTGTGTTCAATTATGCACTTATCTTGAAAATGCATTTACTCCACATTACGTTATTAAAGCATCGGAAATATTTAACCAGTGAAGATTAGGGTTATTGCAATAAAAACGCAAATTCTCGAATTTTTCTTATGCTTATTTACGCAGATTGTTAATACTAAATGCTGAAGAAGGAGCTACTTCATAAAAGTGGAGACTCAGCTACGTCATGACCTGCCATTGCCCAGCTCATACCGATGAGTACTCTATACATTTTAGCATAGAGTAGCGTTCCCAGATCCAAAACTTCCACCATAGAAATATCTTTCTGATTTTTTTTCTTTCAACTTTTCTCAAAATAAAATATTTACCATTTTCAAATTTTGACTTTTTCTTAAATTATCTTCTCAGTACATTTAGCCTATAGGTCGATTCAATGAACTAATCACACTTAGTTCATCGTTTTTTATTTATTAATGTACGTTTCGGTAAATCTTTGTCCTCTTTAGCATAAAATATAATATAACTTTAGACTGACTGGCCAATTGACCAACCTTAATAACAACTAATACTTATCCAATTATGGGGCATATTATGTGCTGAAGATTAAGAATAATAAAGAATAATCAATTAGATAAGTATGATTATTATATTGAATGAAACTACAGGCAAAAAATTGCGAAAAAATATTTAGGTTAAAATTTTATCTTTTACAAATACATGTTTACAAAGTAGAACTGATAAAGGTTTGAGAGTATCGTGTTTGGCAGTCATGCACTGCCATTTAAATTTTTTTTTTTTATTTAAAAACTTAATGTTATATACGTTCTTTATCACTTGAATCCTATTTCAACGTTTTCAATGTTTTCCATACAAGTGTTCAATTCTTGTTTTGATTTTTTTAATAACCAGTTATAATCGAATGAATTTTTGCCTGGATCATCTAAGATAATCACTTTCTATGTTATACATTTATGTTACATATTTTATATGTGACCTTTATATGCTTCATTAATTATTTTTTTCTATCGGTTAGGGCGTGGATGAAGATGAGACAAGGCCTTAAGAACGGCGTTACTAGAGAGAAAGGGGCCGACTACGTTGAAGAGGTGAAAGGAGACGATGAAGTTAGTCATTCAGATGATGATGAGATGGCAGAGAGGAAAGAAAGTACTTCTCAACTTTCAAAAGACTCCTCGGTCAAAGATGAATCGGTCAAAACTGATGAAGGCCTAGTGAAAAAAGAAAGAAGTCCGTCTATTGAAAAAAATTCAAATGATGGAGATTCTTCTAAGAATAGTATAAGCAGCGAAGAAGTGAGTTTGGAAAACAGTATTAAAGTAAAGGAAGAAAAATGTGAAAATGAAATACCTAGTGTCAAACATACAGAAGAGCAAAAATCAATTAGTCCTTTGAAGACTAATTCCGAAAATATAAACAATATTAGCTGTAATAATGTTAATAAAGACAATTGCAGTAAAGTTAGTCCAACGAAAGAAAAAGACAATTGCAATAAAGTTAGCCCAACAAAAGAAGAAGACTGCATAGACGAAGTGAATCCTTTGTATTGGACCATTCACCAGGTCTCCAAGTTCACCAAACCTCTTATATCTTGCTCCAAGGACTGCTTCTTGGAAGAAGTAAGTATTAAACATTTATTTACTAGTTTTTAAAATTTAACAATAAATTTAAAACCAAATGACTCACTTACTTAAATTATTTTTTTTTCTTTGAGAGTTGAATAAAATTCTTCCTTTTTTTTAACTCTCCTCGTTATATTCTTAACCTATCAATAATTTTGTCGTATCATTAAGAATTCTTATAATAAAAATTATGAGTTTCTCACTTCATTAAATGAATGATGTGTATGTGATATTCACATTCTTCTTTAGTGCATTTAAAGATATAAAGAAATGATATAATATAAAAATGAAACATTTAATTTATACCACTGACAGATCTATGGAGGGGGAGGGCTTTCCGACTGAAGATCTCGTCACTTTTATTGCAAAAAGTCATTAAGTGACTTTACATAACCTCAAATAATTGAAAACTTCAATGCAATTTTCCTTTGTGAAATGAGAAAATTATCAAATAGTTTAACTAAATATGATAGATAGATTAGTATGCTGTGTCAATTAGCAACTCAACACAGTTGAGCAGCGTTACAATTTTATTGTAAATATGTCATTTTTCATTTTCATAGACTTGCCATCAGTTTTGAATTGATAAATAAGGTCGAAATTCACAAAAACATATTTAAAAATAAACCTATATCAAAAATGCACTAGATTTTTTTTGCAATAAACCAATGATGTTCTCTTTTCAATAATATAATTTTTTTTTATGTTTTTTCACATCGCATTTGCATGTTTTCTTAAGTTGTAACTTTTCTCTTTAAACTCTCATTTCAATTAATTCTGAATAGTATTTTTGAAAATGTAAATTGATTTGATAGGAAATTTATTTATACTTATAATTTTAAAAAGTCAATACATACATCTATATCATTCCTTATTTATTCATTATTTTATTTATTTTTTAGGAAATTGACGGCCAAGGACTGCTAATGCTTAGCAAAAGTGACCTGCTTGATTATCTAGGCCTTTCTGATTCTGACGCGGAGAGAGTTTACCGTAATATTACACAGCTGAGGCAGAGAGCTGTGGTGTGATCACTTTTATTTGTAAATATAATGTAAATAGGTAAATTAAGAAAGACTATTATATATAAATGGAGTCGAAATTTGAATCTTCATCTCTATTTTAATCAAATAAATTTGTTAATAATTTTCTGAAAGTTATGATCTCATATTGTGATTTAATTTTGTATAATTTATGTAGATTAGCTTGTACATATTTTACAAGATTATTTATTACTTTGAGTGTATATTGTTTTGTATAAACTTACCATATGTAAAAATTGGGCTTGGAACAAATATCTAATTGAAAATTAGATAATATTTCTGTTAAAGATATAATCATAATTGAAAAATAAAATTTATTTGTATGAAAAATGTAGGTTTGAATATGATAGGTTTACAGGTGTGATATGATATGATAAGTTATATTTGTGTGAATGTATGTTTTCCTTTTAAAAAATAACTATACAAATTTAAGTCTGATTTTGTAAATATTTTGTGTAAAAATCATAGTTGAGTAGAGTACTTATTTGATCAGATTATCTTTATTGTGTTCATTAAGTTTTATTAATGTTAACATTTTCTATAATTTTTAAGCAATTGTGTACCTGTCAAAGATGACATCAAATTTATTATTATTTTATTTATGCTACTGTTTTTGCGTCTATATTTTAAAAAGTGGCATATTGCAACTGCCTCCTCTATCTAGAAGTATTATAATTGTGTTTAAAATTCAAATAACTTTGGATGATAACTTTAGACCTAATAAGTGTTTTAAGTTGTCACTGTGTGATGGTTTATTATCGTTGTTAACCTAAAATAAAAGAATAAATTCTTGTGAATATTTTCCAGTTTCTTAGTTTTATACTACTGAGTTGTCATTTATTTTAACAGTAAGTGTTGGATGATTTGGAAGGCAGTTAATGTTTTTTAAGGTATACCTTTCAGATTCTTGTTACAGCTTTTACCATCTTGATCTGATATAATGTATTAGTTATATTCAAGATTTTGTGGTAAGTTTCTTTTTTATAATTTATTGAGATCTATTTAAAGCACCAATTATCGGAAAAAAAAGAATAAAAATTGTTGTTCCCTGCTTCACCTTTATAAGGGATTTTTCCACGTCAGGGGATTAAATGTCATAATTAAAAGGGTCCCACCACCAGGACTCGAACTCAATTGATCAGATTGCCTTGCAACACGTGTTTTGCTCTCACATTGTAGTCCACTTGGCCACTCCTACCAATTTTTGAAAATTATGAATCAAACAATAGGCTTGGAATAAAAAAAATTAATAGAGAAGTAAACAAATTTTTTTTCTTACGCCTGTTGACTTCGACTTTTTAAGTTATGAGACAGTAGTGATCGTTTGGTTCTCTCTTTTTCAAGATATCCAGGGGCAAGGGATTTACTATCTGGATGCGATCACATTTCACTCCCTCTTCAGGAACTCTCCTGAAGGATGGTTGGCAATCTTTTGCTTCAATCAGAATTCTATCCAGTTTTTTTTTTTTTTTTTTTATGGCATAGGGGATTATCAGCCCTATGGCCAACCCCCCAACCTGCAGGACCAGGAGGTATGGTGTAAGGACGCAGGGCTCGCTCACCTCCCTATGACACAGTGCGGACGTTACCTTCTCCAGGCGGGAATCGAACCCGTGTCATAGTGGACAATGTAATCGAGTAGGACTTGCACTTATTAATTTAAATTTATTATTAATTATTTTTTTGGCTGTGATTTCAAATCCTACTTAAGTTATTAAAAATAAAATTTCATAATGACATCATTTTCCCTTAATGTCCGAAAATGAAACAACATTTAACACAAGTCACCCCAGGATGATCGTTGTAATTGGCAATATTATGCACATTCATTTCAAAATTGGAGCCAATTAGATGTGTCATATGATGTATAAAAATTATGAGTGATTACGATAATATACTTGACTACTTGTTTGAAAATAGCTTAGTATTTATAAAAACATATTAAGTGTTATAAGAAATCATAATGTTTAAAAATACTCTTCTGTCTAAATATAATGGCTTAATGAGTGTTATAAATTGACCCTGAACAGATTCCTGTAATCAGACACTGATAAATAAATATGATATACGTATTTCTCCTTTCCAAGTTATATTTTTAAAGATAAGGCATATATATGTTTTTATTAATTTATTTTTTACACTTTAGTTATTACTAAAACATGACTGCTTTATGAAGGTCGCAGTATAAATATTTAAAAATGTTAGTTTTTGTACATTGAGTTATTTCCAATTGTACATCACCCGCTAACGTCTTCACGATACATATTTCTTGAAATGTCTATTTCAAAAACCTGAGTGGATATGTTGAATTTATCTATTGTTTTTGATTGGGCTATTTGTGTTTTCAACTGGCAGTTATTGTACATTAATTGCTTGTTCTGCTTAATTTGTTCTTGAAGCGCTATTTGTAAGTTACTTTGGATGTACTTTTTTTTCTCCTTTTCTGCCTCTTCCTTTACTTTTTTTACCTGTAAAATATAATTAAACAAAACATTTAATCAGTTTTAAGTTGAAACTTTTAACGTCCTAACTGGATTAATATGTTTTTTTGGGTATCTGCAGCTTTTATCAAAATATCTAATAAATGGTATTTATCAAAATACCATTAATGGGCATTATTTTCATTAATTCTCTATGGCAATGAAATGTGATGTTTGTGCTTTTGTTAATACATAGAGGGTTCGGTATTACTAAAGTTTAACTTTTGATTATCAATGAAGTTTATATATTTCAGTTATTATATGTAATATGTAAACAAAAAATATATATCTTTGGATTAATATTTAAATATTTTATTTTCAAATTAGTTCATTACCTAATGAGCTGAATTTCAGTTGCCATTCATTTTTCTTTAAAATTAAAAAAATATGAATGGTCGATGGTCTTTTAAGTTCATATATAATATTTATTTTTTATTATTCATTATTATTACTATTGGTTAAAACTTTCTACCTTTTCCTTCATTTCTATGAGTTGCCTGGAATAATTATCATTAATTTCTTTTATTTTTAAATCTTTTTCTTCCAATTGTTGTTTTAGATTTTCTTTGTCGTTTTTCAAATCCTTTATTTGAGCTAAGGCTTTGTTTATATGACAAGAACGCTTTCTCATGACTGATGTCAAATTTTGACATTTTTTTCTTAAGTATTTGATTTCATCATTTTCTGTTCGAGGTAATGTATTAACACTGCGGTTAACATCATTCATTCCTAAAAATTAATGATGATTTTGAACCATTTCATTTTTAGGCTTAATAAATTATAATTGAAGTGTATATGTATGTTAGTCTCTCGTTGCGTCGTATAATCTTTGTTTTAAAACTTATTAATTAACTCTTAACTACATTCCTAATTTAATAATGATAATTTTAAAAGTAAGAAGTTCTAGAAACAACTGGAGTATACACTTTTTTTTTCTGTTCATTGCTGGATTTACCTAGAAATAATGATGCTATGTCAAATATATTTTAAATTTTTTAACTCTGCTAAATAAATTCCCATATATACACTTCCGCGCATACTCAGAAAACTTTGGCAATCCATCTACAGTAAGATCATGTAATCTTGAATTGCCACCATCTTGTCGTTGTGTTCTTCATAAATTCGCAAAAGTCTTTTTCATTACATTGATACAGTTTGCAGACTTTAAGATATACATGGTTCTCTAATACCTGAGAGAGAAAAAGTTATTAAACGTTGCAAGAACCACTTTCAAAACCTAAATGGAGAGTTCATGGACAAACAAACACCACCTAGGATTGATATCAGTGGTGAACAGTTGGAATCACGAGATAAAGAGGATATTAGGAACGCCATAGAACAGCTAAAGAATAATAAAGTACCAGGCGTGGTTGGAATACCGTCTGAACTTTGGAAACACGGAGGAGAAGCTATCTTTAAGTATGTGGAGAATCGATTTTGGGCATCTGGGTAGAGGAGTGCATTCCTGAAGAAAGGTACCAAATTATTGTATGCCCCATTCACAAGAAGGGAGATCCTCTTAACTATGAGAACCAAATAGAGGAATATCCCTCCCCACTTGTGTATAAGATATTTTCCAATATCCTTTTACAACGTCTATTACGTTTTGCTGAAAAGAAAACAGGTCAATATCAAACAGGTTTTATGAAAGGCTATGATGACCAAATCTTTTTGTGGAGAACGATGACGGAGGGAACGGTTGAGTATAATATACAGACACACCATCTCTTTGTGGATTTCCGAGCTATATTACATATAATTATGCTCTGCAATTCTAAAAAAAGGGGAATATCTAGGAGGAAGAGTAAAAATTGGAGACTTCAATGTCGAATTTGTTGAATTCAACTAAATAATACACAACCAGAGATTCAGCGTGGATTATGGCAGCTAATAGATGCTATTTTGGGCTACAAAAGCATCTAAAAGGCAAATCTCTCTCTAGGGCCACCAAGATACGTATCTATAAGACCCTGATCAGGCCCAACCTCACCACTAGCATATCGAGGATTTAATTTCGGGGGGCTTCAGCCTCAAAGCTTTTTTTTTTTCACATATTTAACGATAATTACTTTGGAAAAAAAAAGAAAGATAGTAACTACCTACATGAAATGGTGTTTATGTGATTCTTGAAGTCCTATTAATTGTACGAACAATAATACTTAAAGAGATCATTTTTTAATATTTTATATTATTAATTTTATAATATTAATATTGTTAGTGTTTTAAAGAAAGATTTTGAGAAGGATTATGGGGTCTACTTGTATCAACTAGATATACCGAGATCGAGGAAAAACGCTGAGCATATGAATCTCTCCAATGACTTTGATATTGTCCATTTAATAAAGGCTGAACCTCTAAGACAGACGGGTCATGTTCCACGCCTGAATAACAATGAAGTCTTCAAATTGCTTCCAGAAGAGAAAAAATTGGACGTAGAAGAGCTGTAAGACCTCGCATGCGTTGGGTGTATTCCGTAGCAGTAGAAACACAGAGGCTTTTAGGAATATGAAATTGAAAAGCAACAGCACAAAACAGAAAAGACTGACAGCTTTGACTGTCCAATGAGTTATGGAGCTAGCGAAACATAAGACGTTTGTGGATTATCTATTTTTCAAACATCTCCTATTGGACACTAATCCATCATTTGTTTAGTCCAAGTCATTTCCTCTCAGCTGATGACAAGTCTAGTCAATATCCACTTCCTTAGGTGTACCTTTTCTGCTAAAAGTGGGATTTTAGTTTGGAAAAAATGTAAAATGTTAAGAAAATCTTATCTTATCGTCTTATATATTATTTCTCAAATATATATCTCTTTTCCGGCTCTCAGGAGTGATGGATTTTGACGAATGAGGAATGAAAAGAAAAGAATATCACGTAGAGTGGGCGAATCGTAATTTTGATTCCTAATTTTATACCTGGGCTTAAATAAAAGTGAATGTAAAAGTTGGAGGTTTCACACAATATGATGGTGCCGTCTCAATGAATCGAGACGTTACAAATGAATTCATAATTTGTTAATAACTCGAAAAGTACGCAATTTATGGTACATTATATATATGAGTATTTGAAAGCTTACTAAATTCCCTGCAAAATGTGAAAAAAAAAAAATCATGGAAACCGATAACAGTTTATACACTTATTTTCAGTTTATAATACTCAGGAGAGCGATATTACATAAAATTTATAGTTAGCATATTTCTATAGTATGAGTAGTGTTGGAAATGGAACAATTTGTACCGACCTCAGGAGCAAAGTGGGTTCAAATATTTCTTTAAGGAGAAACCAGGTTGATATATGTATTTCGCATCTCGGAAAACCATCAAATACAAATTTTTATAGCTATAAAAAAGGACCAATTTTTTTTTTCGAATATCACAAAAAATGTTATTACTTCAACATGGTTTTAGCTATCTACAAGAAATTTAGCAGGAATTTAGGGCCACATAAACTACACGAAATTACATCTACAGAACCTTCGTAGACAAACTACAAATGGAGATAGAAATAAAAACCTATAAGGAGTTTTTGTTTATTAATTCCTTATGCAGGAAATAAATCAAAAACCAAGAATAAACAATCATCGAGATGGGATGATTTGGTGAAGAGCTATTGTGAACATTAGATTGATTGATTTGGTGAAGCATTGTGAACATTTTTTAGTATTTGTTATACTGTAACGATTCTGTTGCTTATGAGAATTGGTCTTTATTTATTTTCTTTTTTTTTCCGGGTTATCTATTTAAACGGAATGGTTAAACCATGGCAGATTGTAAATAATATTCATAACTGATGGCTTACTAAATATATGTATTAAACCTTAGCGTATCAAAAATTATTAAATGGAAGTTGTACTGAAGCCTTATGGTATTAAAATCATATACAAATATTAGGTTTGTGTGGAGTATTCGCACGGATCAGCTAGTTAGGATTTAATGGTAGTCTTCCCTTGCTTGTGAATATCAAGAGGCAAGAGAAAATGGCAGCGCAATCAACAGAGATAACTGGGAGATCTGACTAAACAAGAACTGTATTGGTAAGAAAGAAGAAGATGAAATGACCAAGAAAAATATAATTCTCTGCAACGGCAGTGAATAAAATTGGTTTAAATTATAAATTTTCAGTAAAATATTTTTTAAATTTTGATTGGCGCTGGCTCAATCAAAACTTATATCAATGTCCGTCTATTGAGTGATTTTCATGGCAATGCCATCTAATACAACATCAAACGATTGCTTCCTTAATCAGCATTTACCGCTGGAGGGAAACATTTAGCCCCATTTATATGAATTAAAAAATTATAACACAATCATCAACTCAGGAGTGGATCAAGTGAATCTATAGATCGCGGCAGCAAAGGATCCCGATACCTTGAAATATCCTAACAGATTTGGTGAATGACCGAAAAGTTTTGAAAAACCCTTCTGATTCTTTTTTTTTCGGACTTCACAGACCTTATAGATCTTTGACAACCTGAGGTATTCTCCACTTCTGCTTATCTTGGAGTATGGCTTTTCGGTTAGTTGCATACAGCATCTTTGTTGATGTTTATCAATCCGTTTGCTTTTTGGCCTCTAACGTACCTCCATTTTCACCCGATGTTGTTCTTATCGCACTCTTAGTTGAACAGCAACGCGGTGGGAGTCCACTTTCCTGACTCAAACGAGTTCGAAGTTAGAAGAATTCAAATACTTCTCCTTGTATTAGAACTCGAAATTTAGAATCATTTGTTTGCCTTCGTCTATCTCCCAAACTTATCGGGAACTCCGAGTTGAGTCATAATTTTTCAAAGAGACTTCTTATCCATGGGGTCCTAGGCTGCTTCTAAACCCACAAATAAGACTTGAACATCCCCAGTTACTTCCCATCATTTGCCGAAGACTAGTTTTAGGATGAAGATCTGGTCTAGCGTGCTTCTTTTTCTTCCGAATCCTGCTTGGCGGGCGCCTCTTATATTTTTGTAATATACACACAGCTGGTTCATTAGTATATTAATCATCATCATGTAGACCTCAGGAAGTAGTTCTACGCCTCATTTATCACTCACACTCGTACAAGGAGCCTTTCTTTAGGATGGAGCAAATGATGCCCGGGTTTCAAACTCCTGGTACCGTTTCCTTCTCCATATTTTCTAAATTATAGCAGCTTGGCTGTTTAGTCTTCTCCTCTCATCTTTAAAAAGCATTGATGATAGGTGTCCATGAGGATGGGATGGCTGAGCACGTTGGTTGATCTTAAGATAGCTGTCAGGAGTTGGCAAAGAGGACCACGATAGGGCCCATTTAACGGACTAGTTCTCCCACCAAGCACCAGTACCAGTACCAGTAGGTTGTCCATCCTTGGGGCCTTCCTCGTTTAAAGCCTTTCTGTAGCTATTTCAACTTCCAATGTGTTTGGTTTTTCAATCTCTTGTGAGTCGAGGTCCTCAGTGTAGTCCATGTCTTCTTTGTTCGTGAGATCCCCTTGTTTGAGAAGCTACTGGAAATATTCTTTCCACATGCTTATTGTTTTTTCTTTTGATCCTCCCAGAAGGCCACCTTTTCCTTGTAATTGCTTATTTCTTAATATCCTAACCTACTTTTCCTGATGATGTCATGTTAGTATCATTATTGAATAGTAATAATAAAAACAATCATTGTTTTTCTGAATTGCAAGAAACTAGAAATAAATATTAAAGAAGCCCACACATATACTTACTTTTTAATCTCGCATTCTTACACTTTTCTCTGTCGAGTTCGAAATCAAGAAGATGCTTGTCAATTAATAGTTGCAATTCATTTTGGAATATCATTCGCTCTGTGTAGTGCGACAATTGAATGCTCTCGTCCAGCGTATTCATGTTCTTTCTGATGTCCTTGACCAAGTTGCCTAATTTATTGTTAGGCGAACCATTTTCCTTAAAATTAAACAGTATTAAAATATTTTTAGAGAGATGTTCTTAAAAATAATTTTAAATGGAATGTTTACTTCTGTTCCTTCTATTGTTCCATTTGATTGTTGGGACAACAAGCCCTCCTCAACTCCTTCCTTGTTAAAAGATTCTTTTGAATCTGTTCCATCAATTATTATTGATTCTTTGATTTCCTCCTTCATTTTTTTCACTATCTATACTAATAGTACACAATATTTATATCACATGGTGAAATACTTGGTAACATTCAACATGAACTGAAACCTTTTTTTTTTTGCTCTGAAAAACGATATTTAGTCGGTAATAGTGTAACTTCTGCAATAGTACGTTGACTGAAAGCTAAAATTTTCAGCAAGGCCAATGAAACGTTTAGAAATTAAATACCCGTCATATTAACACATATATATGTAAAACAGAAAGCGGGAACAAGTGATATACTATCGAAAAAAATTATTGTTTTAAGGAGTCGCCATTTTTTCAAGTAGCATAATCCGACTGGCAGACTCTCATTTTTTTAACATAAATGTTATGAATATTAAAAAAAAATGCTATCAAAATTTTCATCAGATATCATTTTTTTTTTTTTTTGGATTGACTCTCGGAACAATATGGAAATAAGTAATGCAATATATTATGACAAAGTGGATTTAATTTTCTTTTCCACGACCAATTACAATAATTCATTCAAAATAATAAACCACATGTGTACAAATTACAATAGTCTGTATCTTTGCCGATAAGCCGAATTACTTTTCGTTTCGTGGGAAAGTTAAGAAGAATTTTTTGTGGGTGTGCTAATTTTTTTCGCCTTAAGGAAACCAAAATTTTCAAAATTATGGTCCAATAATTGAGCATTATGGAGAATTAATGAAGAAATATGGCATACACCTTGTTGTTATGCCGACAAAAACACCTTTGAGAATTGAATTTATAAAGGTCTGTATCTAAACAATGTAATAGGTACCGTTTTAATAAGCAAGCAACCTTTTGTTTATTAATGTGTTTATTACTATCCTCCGCTGCCTCTCTTTTATTTTATGCTTTAGTATATTCTCACAAGTCTTCGTTCTTTCTATATATTATTGAAATGAATCACCCCTACAAATTCCTTCCACCGGTTCACAAAAGATTCGTAGTACGAGTAGTTGTTCTTGTTTACTAGCTTAAGGAAATCGTCCTCCCTGATGACCCAGTGAATGATCACCTTCAGAAGTTCCTTTGGCCCTTATTGGCTTAAAAGCGGTTAATGCTGTCACGACATGCTCAGCATTTTCTGGAGGAACACCACAACAGTGCCAGAGGAGGAACCTTTAGCTAATAAAAAAACAATAAACTTACTAATTAGTGCCCATGAGTGGAAGAAATGATTAAATATTTTCGTGTTTAATTCTTTGACGTGGCTGGCGCTTAATTTCCAAGTCTAAGTCCTAACTCCTGCCTTCCAGCATCTCTCTTAAGCTATTGACTTATAAGTTTCGTACGACTATGCCCGCATTATCTTCCAAATACTTTATTTTAAAAGTGGTATCATATCCGCATATTTCACCACAATTCCTATCAAGTCCTTCAACCTGGCCTTGATTATGTCCAATAGGATATATTACTAAGGTTCTGACTCCCTATGCTCATATATTCTCAACTCGAATCTACAATACATATTTGAAACATGCTCCTCTAAAAACCTGACCTACATTATTCCACTCCTACTTAAGTAACCTTTGAAGTAAAATGAATGATGAAAAATTGTCGAATCTGATTGCCAGCTGATTTTACGTTTTTTCAAAGAACTTCGTAATGGAACCAAATCCGTATTCTGGCATACTAAATGCCTCTGCATCCGTAATGCCCTCTTCCATGCTCTCCATATTAAATTTAAGTGGAAAATACTTGGAAAATTAACGCTAGGAGAATCATGTAACTTCGAGATCATCTCAATTACCATTATATTTTTTAAAAATCAGCTCACACAGAACGCGATATGTGCTGGTGTTCACCGATCTTTTTGTCTGTATCGCTGTGGATGATCACGCTCTGTGACTGTGATTATAATACACGATAATTCGGAACGTCATTAGTGCCTCGGAATGCAATTCCGAATGACCGTGTAGGTTCCGCATAACGCTATAACAGGGGACACCAATGTCATTTCGGCAAGAAATATAGCTTTCTGTGTGCACTAGGATTTGCTCCAAATTCTTAAACTACTGCCGATGATTAACTTCACGGCTTCAACCCAGGAAACTTCTTTTTCTCCTAATGCCCTATGATGAATTACTCATCACTATCCTAAAACCTGACACCAATGACTTTTGGAAGTGCCAATATTCCAATTATACCAATAAAAGCTTATCTTCCCATAGTTCATCACATTTATAAGTATAAAATTTCCATCCTATTTCTCTGCTCTCCAAGCAAAAAAACCTCTGGAACGTCTTGAATAAAATCAACCCTCCAATCTGGATATTCAAAGCAATCTGTTCTCCTAAAAATAACCCATGATTTCCAAACCTTCATTAAAGACCAAACATTAACATAGATAATTCTAAAGATTTGACAAGGTCAACCATAATATTCTCCTTACCAATCTATAAAATAATGCTTTATTCAACACTCTTGCACTGGTTCAAATCCTATCTCGCACATTGGTCACAGTATGTAGAGGAGGGTGGGGTAAGGTAAAGAATGGAGAAATATGATAAATTCAATATATCTCATAATCAATTACAAATAGCAGTATGTCCTTGTCAGCATAAGATTTTTGATGGACAATATTGAGGTCAGTTGTGACCAACAGTTCAGAAACAGAACACTTTGAAGCAATTTTCAAGTCTCAAAATGCAAGGAATCACTAATCGAAAGCAAGCTCTTCAACTTTCTTACTATAATATTCTTATATATAACTCCATACCACAAATTTATAGGAGACCCATTTATTTTTTCAATAGTTGAGGTTACCAATAGATGATAGAATGTTCAAAATGGTGTGAGGGAGAAAGATGAAGAATTCTGCATCTTCTGCTCAGAGGAAGGCAAGGATGAGCTGTGGTACCAGTACTGTAAGGGACCTCTTTCTAAATGTTCTGGATGAGACCAGAGAGACGTCAGTCACAGGAACTATAATTGCAACTTTATAACTGTTAAATAAATTTTACTTTTTGTATAATTTAATAAAATTTGGGATTCCTTTCACAGTTTTATATTTCTTGTTTAAGTCGTGTTATGATGCTTTAAAATCTCTGATCTTTTTGTCATAACTCATGTTTTATCCCTTTGAATAATAAAAAAATAAAGAGGCAATTAAAAAAAAAAACTAATGGTAATAGGTAAGACATTGAAAAAGTTCTCAGAAAAAATTCAGTTCATGAATCCATTTTAGAGTGGCTAGGAAAAATTGTAAAAGTTTAACCTCATCATCTTACCCCATTCCTCTAGTTATCATAAGTGGGACCTCCATCCAAGAAACTAAGCCTCACACTTCATTGGCAATAATTTCAATTCTTGTACTAGATAAATGTTTATGTTATAAATGTAATACAACATAAGTCGCTCCAGGTCAATAATGGTTTTAATGTAATCATTCCCTTCATAAATTCTATTTATTATTTAATTTTATTTCAATAATCAATCAGTATATTCGCATTTATACCTCTTAGGTAGATCTTAACCACCTTTTGGTTTGAAAATTTGGTTTAGCATTTCTATATTTCCCAAATTAGGCAGAATTCCATTGTTATACTAAAACAATCCCTACAATTCATCGATCACATCAATATCTTGCTGCACTAAGCGTTTACTTCCTGTCTTCTTTAATAGCACTTAAATTGGGGTTGTTTTATTTATGGCTAAGCATAAAATATTGATGTGTGACAGCCAAGCGCATTGGCACAGCCATTGACGCATTGACAGCCATAACTAGATTTTTTCCAGAAGAGAAATCTTAATTTTGTCGCTCTGTTTTTCCACTCCTCTCATTAAAAGTCAACAATTTTATAACAATACTTTAGGCAGTATATTTAAAAATAAATATCAAGATATCATTACATAAAATCATTTTATTAACTGAATATGGTCGAAACACTCACAAAGCTGATAAAAATATTATTTATTTAAATTAAAAATGTAATTTTGTTTGAAATTTGTCTAGCAGCAACATTTAAAAGACTTTCCTTTGTCTTATTCCGCCATATTGCATTTGATCATTAATCTTATGTTAGTACACAGTTAGAAAAACATGACTTAAGTAACCAATATTAAAAATATTAATTCAAGATGAAATACATCAAGATTTGGACCATTACTGTAGATTTAGAATAAGAAAATAAATCAATAAATAAAAAAATGGAATTTTTCAAGAAAGGAAGTAAATACTACAGAATAAAAGTTTGTCTTTTATTTTTTTATATGTACAGAAATAAAGTATAAAAAGAGTTATTAGGAAGTAAACACTTTAACATTTGGGTTTCATCATACATAACTATACAAGGGAAAATATAAAAGTATTCAATAAATATTTTTAAAGGCAGTTTCAACATATATATATGTAAATATATATATATTATATTTTTTTTTTTTGATGAGGATTAGGAAAATAAGTTAATGATTACAATAATTTTTAAAATATTTTGAGTCATTTACAGGTGTTAATAACACTGTCTATTTTATTACAATATTCCTAATATAAAAATTGCATTGAAAATATAATTGTCACACAATTTGTGTGCAATAGATTATATTTTTTACGTAGTTCTAAAATTTTTGAAATATAGCAAGCTACTTGTGTAATGTATTATATTTTAGATTTATATTTTGTTTTATTTTTATTCATCCAAATTCTCTTTTTAATTTTTAATGGAAATTTTAATTAAACGTTCAAGCCAAATTTAAGCTGATACAATTTTACAATAAATAAAGAAAACATAGATATAACAGTACAAATATACTTCATTACACTGAAATGAAAACAATTAAATAATTCACGACTTGGAAATACAAATTTATTATTAACTAATTACTCTATATCTCTGCAATAGTTACGGTTTCAAATATTGCGATCCAAACTATTAAACTATTTATCACATTGAGAAAAATTAACAAATACATTATCACAATGATTTTTTTTTTCAAGGAAAAAATATTAATTTAGAATTGTGGTACAAAGCGTGTAGAAGTAAGTGTCGCAAATAGAATTGATAAGTATAGATTTCATCTCTAATCTCTTATCAATCGAAATGAACTATCACATACAGAGTATTCTCCACTATGAGAATATATATATATATATATGTATATATATTTAAAAAAAGTTGAGCTAAATGAAAAACAAAATAAAAATATAATGTTTTATTAACATTAAAACAATGAAACTTACTATAGATGGTAAAAATATGTTTAGGTGCGTAAACCGCACTACATTAACCATCCCTAATTATGGAATGGTACCATATGTTATATTATTTATATATTTTCATATATATATAAATATATACAAACAAAGTTACAAACAGTAAAAAAATTTGTCGAGGCTCTAATACGGTGCAGGTAGCTTAGCGACTGTGGTATATACAATAGCATGGTAGATAACACTGTACAACTAGACACGGCTTTTGCTGCCAAATGTCATGGCCTATGAAACCTGAAACAGTTACAAAAAATTAGAAGCTAATTAAAATATATAATTAAATATTTATAAAACAGGTCAAATATTTATTCTGTCCATTTTTCCTAGAATTGGTGTGTTGAGGTTTTATTTGTTACATAAATTAGGCCATTATTCACCAACATTTTATTTATTAGCTATTTTATTACGACGTTTCGACTATCACTAGGGCCATTTTCAAGTTTTTTCAATAGGTCAAGGGCCATTTCAATATTGAGTCCTCCATTAAATATCCATTATTAATGTAATTTCAGAGAAAAATTAATATGACATTAATAATGAATATCTAATGGAGGACTCAATAAGACTTGAAAATGGACCTAGTGATGGTTGAAACGTCGTAATAAAACAGCTAATAAATAAAATGTTGATGAATAATGGCCTAATTTATATGTCAAATATTTACTATCTATATTCGATTATCAAGAAGAGGGGTCTCCTCCAAATTATGACCCACGAAAAGATCTTTGGATACATGTTAAAATTTTAAAAACGATTTAAAAAAATGTGAAATTTAGTAAATAACTCGGAACACGGGATTACTACAACATTTATTTTATGATTAGATTATATTACAAAGCTTATTTCACAATTTAAGTGTTATTTATAGAATACATTTTTTGTTGTTATCACAAGTCATGGCCAGTGGGACTTACTGGAGGTCTCAATGTGGCTCCTGGACCAAAAAGTTTGGAAACCTCTGATTTATAATGAAAGATAAGGAACAAAACAAAAGAAATATTGTATTTTTTTTTTTTTATAAAACTTTCAAGAAATTAAGTTTTGAATTTATACTGTGGTAAGGACCTAAATAAAGCAGATCAAGCTACCTCGAAACCCAGGAACCATTGTCAGAAATTCAATCAATAAAGACACAGAGAAAAAATTACTAAGAGAGATGAAGAGGAAAATTTTAAACTATGTGACACAATAAATTGGATGAGAGTCTCACAGCTTTGAAGCAATAGGAAAGCTTAATCCTGTAGGAATAGTATCCTCCCGCAGGACAGTGGATTATCTTACAATTATTATGAGAATTTGAACCATAATTTGTATAAATAGTAATAAATAAAAGATTACTCTAAACATTCATTATCAAGGAACAGTTATGCTTGCTTGATTTCTATATGCTCTGTGCAGATATAAAATACAATGAAAATGCAGAACAGAAAAAATTTAATTCTTGAAATATTCAAATTTTTAAAAAAGAAATTTAATATGGAAGTACTGCCAATAAACTTTTTAGGATGGATGCACTTAAATATACAAGCAAATAAACTTTGCTATGAAAAAAATTCTTTATATGTATATATCCCATACTTATATTAATGAAAAAATTATAAACGCTGACAATAAAAAATATTTACAATGGTCACTACAGCTGTATATCTAATTTCTACTACCAAATGGTTCATGTTATCTAGTTATATAATGTTTTTTTTCTCTCTTAATGTTCCTTTCATTTTCTTACATAAAACTCTGAAGTCTGAGTATTCGTTAGAATGGCTAAGAAATTTCTAAAACAAATTCACAAGAAGCCAAATTTTTCTAATTTCCTACAAGTTTGGATTTGATAATACTTTTATACAGAGGTTACTGTAAAATTACTTAAGGCATTTTACTATGTTCCATTAACAAATTATATTGAATATTATATCAAAAACAAGATATAAAATATGTATAAATTAAATGATAATGCCTTAAAAAATTTATAAGCAAACTTGATAGAAATACTACAATGATTTTTATTTAGTTAAGATATATTGAATTAATATTAGTATTAAAATATTTCACACATCCATAGTGAAAAAGGCACAATTAAAAATTTCTAGTATCACAAATTTTGATGGTCAGACCCAAAAACATTTTTTGAGTTACCCCCTTTCAATTAGAATGTATGATATATAAGTTTCCTGCAGATAACAAACGTTTTTTACCTAGTAAGATGTCTACTTTCTTGGTGGACCTCCATTTCAGAGGACTTAAATTCGTTGAGTTCCTTTCGGATGGCAGCCTTATCTTTTGGTGTCAGTCGAGTCCATGGCTTGTCTGCGCGCCGATCGTAGTCATGAGCCTGGGTCACTTCTATATAGTCATTGAAGCGTATGATCTGTAAATAACAATTAATTAATATTATAAGTAGGAAAAATTGATGCTCTCTCTGCTATTAGTCTTTTTTTTACAACTAAGTCCCTTAGGAATAAAAATAGTATATAAATAGAATACCATATTGGCCAAAAACGACATAACCAAAGTTCAATCAGTAAATACATTATGGAAACATAAACATATATCAGCAACAAAATAAAATTTCAAGATTTGAGAGTATCTGAATGAGAGTACGGAAGAGATATGACCTGATAAGGCATTGCAAAAGACAACTGAGTGGGCAAGGAAGTAACATTCAAAGATTTTAGAACAGTAGCAAGTGATATAGAGGTCAGAAAAGTGGGATGTTTTATGGTTTGTCTGTGGACCAAGGGTTTGAATTCCAGGAATATGTAGAAATAGGAAAGCTGCTGGGGGTCAATAGTTTAGTTTAGCAATGATCTGATGGAATGGAAAGATCCACTTTAACTCTTCATAAATATGGGATACACGAGACCACCTCGAGGTATCCAAGACAAATCTAAGAACTAAGTTCATTATTTGCTTCAGTCTGTCCTCGAGTAGAATCGAGAGGCTTCCATAAACCACAGTGCCATAGTCAAAAATGGGAAAAAAAGAAAGCTTGTGGATTGGTCATTGAAAAAAACTTTGCAGGTAAGTAAGGTCTATTTAACTGAGCACTTGATACAAATAGTTATGTAAGTAAAAAGCCTCAAAAACTCCATTCGATTATTTAATGTTGTTAGCCTAGTACAAAGATGATCTCAATAAAATCATTTTATAAGCCCAAGTACTGAGCCAGCTACTGAGCTGAGCTGGTCCAACAATCGTTACAGCTTACAGGATGCTGACAATGTAGTCAATATTTTAATGATATTATCTGTCTTTTATTGGAAATCTTATTTGCCTATTGAGCTGTGGTCCATTTAAAACTATCATAAAGTACATGTACATTTTTGGGCAATTTATCTGTTTTCAGACAAAGGATGGATCCAGAGGTTTTTTTTTTAGCTATCCGAGTGACTACAGAATTTGGTAGAAATATTTCCATCTCTATGGGAGATATTGTAATAAATCGATTGCCTAACTATGAAATGCATCTACAAAGATCCATTTCTCACAAGGTGAGTCACTTTTTTAAATTTCCCCTACCTAACCTAATCAATGATATTCACTAGTACTAGTAGGTGTAATTTTTCTTCTCTAGGATTATTTTTGTACAGGAAAATTCCTCTTTTTCTCTTCCGTGGTGCTACGATTGATTCAGATCAAAGATACTGATTTACATCTAATAACTAGATAACTAAATCCCCAAGGGTGTTCACATTGCCAGTCTGTTAAGCCAAACTGTTACCATATTCTGTTTAATAAAACAATCACTAACCATAGAATAAATAAAAGTACAAAATCTATGAGAAGATAAAGAACAAAATATCATGAACAGGAAAGGGAATGCAAAAAAATAAGGTAATTAATAGAATGGTGAATGGTGATCAATGGTGGAAATGGTGATCATAAAATAAAACAAATTTTTTAGATAAATAGATAAAAGGAGAGTTTTCACAAGTATCTCATAAGGAGATTCATCTTAGCCACGCATTAAAATATAACAAACAACATTATTATAAAAAAATTCTCAATATTCAAGAAAAGATAGGAAAATAAATTTTTGTTTTCGGAAAATAGACAACCCTTGATTTAAAAGAGACTGTATTTTTATTGATTATCCCTAATTCATTTATTAAATTGAAAAGTCACTGGTCCTAGACAATTTTGAGACATTATTCTTTGTTCCAAATACAGTATGGTAACGTCTCTTTAAAAAAAACAACTTTAATTATATAAAATATACTTTGTACCTATAAAATGGTTAATATAATTATTTAAATTTTTACAATTGGAAAAAATTAAATAAATTTAAGTTCAAAACAAAAGATTACCTTCTTTTCCTTCAGTTCTTCAACAGTTGGCCTAAAACTGAGTTTTCGCAGCAGCATACGCTTCTTTTCTTCTTTGAGCTTCTTTTCTTCAGCAGCTGTTTGTTCTGAAATAAAAATATTAAAAATAAGAAAAAGAAGGAGGAAACAACTTTAAATTTAAATGAAGATATGAGTGGCTTGATATCAAAGACATCGCTAATTTATTTAATAAAAAGATAAAGCCAATTCTTCTAATATAGCTTCTATTTTAAGAGATTCTAATGATTTCGTATCTAGTTTTAACTAAAACATTTTTAAATAAAATTATCAGAAACAGTTTGAGCTGAATAAATAAATAAAAGATTGACTATTTCACTGCTTTATGAAAATGATTGGTGCCTGTCTTTGATATGAGTCCACTCACATATGATGAGCGGCAAAAATTATATAAATTTTTGAATGAATTAGCTATGAAAATTAATTGGAAAAAAACTCAAAAAGAAACTATTAAACTAATTGTTAGGATATAAACGTAAAATCCTATAGACAAGCTTTTTAAATTTGTAATCTTCTATTTAGTTGTTATAACTATGAAAATTTAATTTTGAGAAACTTAAGCTTCTTTTCTGTATAATTAACATACAAGCTTTAACAAGATCTTTTTAAAATTATTAAATATTTATTTCTATTAGAAACTTACTTTTTAAAATATTCCTCTCTTCCAATTCTTCTTGCGTGGGCCGCATACTCAACCTCCTGAAGAACAAAATAAAGTGATTACATCCAATTTCTTTAAACAATACAGTATAATAATACAACAAAAAATAATTAATAGCAATGTTAACAAACCTGATTAGCCGAGCGCCTACTGCTTCTTTACTTTCTTGCCTTTCTTTCTCACTTTGAACTTGAAGAATGTTTCTATCAATGAGCTCTTGCCTGTCTGGTCTTAGGGCAAGTTTCAGTGCTAAGCTATCTTTTCGCGCGATTTTTGCTGCCAACCGATCTAATTAACATAGAATAATAGAATGTTAGAATAGGTATTTTAAAGCATTAATAATGTAAATACTTCTTAAAATTTAAATAATGTGATAACAGTATAAAATAGTTTTTTAAAATGTATTTCTAGTTGAACTTTTTTAATAATTAAGTTTCTAGAATAACATAATATATAAACCATTCAAACTTTCATGAAATATTTATTTAAATAATTTCATTTAGAAGACACTCCATTCTCCATTTCTGAGTCAGCTTTCAATATATAAAAAATACTAAATTAAAGTATAGCTACTTATATTATCCACTTATATTGTTAGTATCTTTGAATCTTGCAATAATATATGTATAACGCACCAATTTATCTCTATACTACAAACAACTATTATAATGAACTTTAACCAACTATAATTACCTCTTGCTCCATCAAAATTATCAAAATATATAAAATATTTTTGATTATAATTTTGTGAAAGTTGAGAAAAACTATTATTGTGCAAATATCTAATTCTTACATTAGGTAAACATACCTATTAATGCCTCTATACTATACTTTGTATAGTATGTAGGAATCTTGGCTTTTTATCATATTATCTTTTCCCTTATATCTTTGAATATGATAAAAATAATAATTTTACGTGTCCATCTATTAGTTTTGTCATATTTTGTTACAATGGTTCCTGTAACTATATTTTTAAATTCATATACATCTATTTTATTATCCATATCTGAAAATTATAAGCCTATTTTTTCTTAAAAAATTAATCCCAAATCATTGTATAATGCCCTAGTCCATTTTATCCACTGACTTGTATTGTTATTTGTTTTCTAATGTAATCCCTAAGGAATTAACTATTTGTTTGTCTTCATTGTATCAGTTAGTATTTATTACCTATATTATAATATTTCTATTCTGATAGTTACATGTGATTTATTTTTAAATATCTATTAAGGTAATTGTACAAGTAATGAACACTGTACTAGTAATAAAGAGTTTTCAATTCATTGGCAGATAATTTATATTTACATGCCTAAAAGAGAGCATAAATGTGAGTAGATTTGCAGTCAAAACACTTAGGAGGGTGATGATTGAATCGTGCTACAATATCTGATTTTTAGTGGCTAGGTGTTTGTTTCAGGGAGGTTTCGTTATCACTTTTCTGAAAGACATAATTTTAAAATTTTGATTCATTCATTTTTAGTTTGTCATTTGTTAGTTTAAAACTGTGTAGAATTTATTTAGAGTTTTTTTTAAATTATTTAAAAAACCTATTTACTCCAAAACTTAGGTGTCTATTACAGTCCTATTTTCCTTAGTTTTTCATGAATAATTAACTAACTGGCTATAAAGGAAAACAAAATTGATAAAATACTAAATTTGCTGTAAATTGAACCCATTTACAAAGATCCATCGTCAAAACTAAAACTAGGGCTCATATCAATGTAGAAAATTTCAATTAAATTGTCTATTACTGGTACATTTACCTTATATTTATAATATCAACATACGTAATGCTCATCTATGTTTTGAAATTAACAACATTTTTAACGATTACATATTAAGTTAAGTAAATAGATCTAATATATTTATTAATTTTATTTTATTCTGTCTTATAGATTATTTTTACTGATTAAAAATAAAAAATTGGTGAAGAAATAAATGACAATAAGGAAGTAAGAAGGAGGTTGCAATCATAGTGGGAAACAAAATTAAACATAAAAAAAAAAAAATGTATGATGATGGATAATTGTTGAATGCTGACACTGGAAGTACAAAGTAAAATAAATATAATTTATTTATTTTCAATTTACTTTATTTACTATCAATTTATTTACTTTCAATGACTGCAATCCCCAACCAACAAAAAAATATTATATTTTGGGACAGACAACGTTTTGAACTAAGTTTCAGAGCTTTATCAGGGCTACACGTACTGAGGATGCTAACAGGATGAGATATAAATAAATGTTCCAGAAACTGAATTCATGAAAAATAAAAACTAGGTAGCGAGCACAAAGATTCAATTTGATAAATCTACAAAACCAAAAAGGATGGTTTTATAAATATTTTTTCTCATAGTATTCTATTCCAAACAGTTTTAACTTCATTTCATTTGATAACAACTTACTTTCAGCATCGTCATCCCTGTACAAGACAGGACCGTCGCCGGAACTGTCGCTGCCTTCACTCTCATCTCCGGGCCTGCTGTTCTCCTTGTTTTCCAGGCTTAAGGAAAGACCAAACCTTACTGGCCGAGCACTGAAATAAAAAAATCATTAATAATTTGCAATTTAAGATGTTTTAGAGAAAATATAATCATCATCAATTTTTAATTAATTATTAAAAACAAAAAAAAGCATATTCCTTTATTGTATGTAAAAAATATTTGGTGGTAATACAAATTGTGTGATAAGATTTGTAATATGCTGTGTGCAACACGACATATTTATATTTTTTTATTTCTGTTATGAGTGGCCTCATATTTAAAACTGACATCTGTAATTTGAAAAAACTTGAGAAAAAGCTAACTTTTGTAACATGGCTTCAATTCAAACCAATTCTAATTTTCTTTTTTTTTCATGATTCAACTTGAACATTCTTAATTTATTTAAACCCTATCCTGCGGGTAAGGTAATACGGGTGATATGCAACATTGAGTAGCAGTGCATGCGTTACAACTCACTGCTGCAATCAGACCAATTACACTGTTTTTTGTTTTTTTTCTTTTCAGCCGCCGTCTTCCACCCTCTCTGGCGGCCTTCCAGATGCAGGTCCATCTCTTCTTTCCAATGTAATGTGGTTTGGACCAACGAGTTCCTTCCACCCGTATACGAAGGCTTGTAGTACAGGTAGTTAGTTCACTTTAGTCATAAGTTGAGGGAGATCGCTCTCTGTCAGAATGTGAAGTCCAGCCTCCCTCAACAACTTGGCCCTCAGTGACTCAAAGGCAGTATAGACAAGGATGATATGCTCGGCGGTCTTTGGTACTCTGCAACTTGGGCATAGGGGATAAACGTTCTCACCATATTCAACGAGCTTTGCTCGGAAACCCCCATGCCCCGTGAGGGACTGTGAGACCCAGTAGTTCGGGAGAACCAACGTCTGTTCTAATTTTGAATTAACGGTGGGGAAGTCTTTTCTCAGAGTAGTCCCTTTTGGCGTCGACACCAACCGCTGGTTCCATTCTTTTAGCTTGTTCTCCCGAAGAATGCTCTTCCATCTATTAGAGTCTTCACTGATCCTCACACAGAGATTCACCGGTAGATCCACCAGGCCTTCCCTCTTCATCTTGTGCCGAAACAAGTCTTCTCGTAGAAGATCAATAGAGGTAGTTCCGGCTAAGACTTGTACCGCCTCGTGAGACACTGACCAGTACACTCTAGTGACCCGCAGCAGAGTCATCCTCTGGATCGTTGCCAACCTTTTCTTCTGTTGGTGCGAGAGATGATGACTCCACGCAGGGGACGCATACCTCAGGATGCCCACAATGACTCCTTTATAAATAGTCAACGTGGCTGGGTACCTGAGACCCCAAAAGGGGCCCCCGATGAGATTAAGTCCATTGAGAGCCAGGGCCACCCTACTTTTTATGAAGTCCAAGTGAGGCAAATGTGAACATTCTTAATTATAAAGTAATCAGAAATAGTTTGAGTTAAACCTGTAAAACCAAAATTGACTTTTTCTCCACTTTCTAGAAATAACAGAAGTTCTTCTTTGATATGAAGCCACTCATATAACGGATAGACCATAATAGTAGTAATCATATCGAAAAAGCTCAGTAACAGAACTAGAATACATCTCGATTGCTTGCATTATATAATTATTCATATAACTGCAATCATATATAAAAACTTTTCATTTCATATCTTCTTAGTGAGATTCAAAATAGTGAATATAGGAAAGGAGTATGATAAATTAAAATTTATTGTAATTTAATTATTATAATACATTAAAATTATTAATAAAATTAAAAGGGGAGAGAGATTAAATCAATGCAGCAATACTGCTTATTTCATTATTGTTAATAGCATTATAAAATACAAAACACATTTGTCTGTATTCCTCCCTTTTATAATCCTTTAATAGCACTGCTAAAAAACATAAATTTATGCAAACATAGCCACAAGTTAGTATTTCAGTATCAGTTAACAATATTTCATGATGTAATAATGGTAATTTTTTAATTATAGAGGCTGCTGCAAATTCATAATATCAATTTTAAATTTTAACAGATATAGGAATATGTGTCCTTATCAAATGCATATGTAACCGATAATCCTAAATAGTAAATTGATGCAATACAAATCTTAAAATTAAAAGTCATGGACTAAAACTTGAACCGTAGTTTGATTAAATTAAAATCCTGTAAATAAATTAACAAATTTAAGGAAGGGGTAATTTGATTATTATACCAAATTAGGGGGGAGGTTCAATAATAAATATAGTTTCATATAATTAATCTCATTACCAAATTAGGGGGGTTCAATAATAAATATAGTTGTATATATTATTGATCTCATTACCAAATTAGGGGGGTTCAATAATAAATATAGTTTCATATAATTGATCTCATTACCAAATTCTTATCCTAGGCCTGGATAGGGGTCTTCTGCAGCAGTAAACAGACAAAATTTGTACAATAATTAATGTTTTACTTGTTAATATTTGCCTTAAATTACTCATTGTGCATATTTAAGAAAACAAGTGTGCCATTAATGATAATAGTGAATAGAATAATTAAATGAAATAAATTGAATCTGTATGGTTCAGAAATTGTTAAAATATTAATATAATAATTGACCTAACTGAGAGACAAATGTTCATGAAAAATTAAAATAAACAATAATAATAATAAAACAAATTCATTAGAAATAAAAATAATTACCACCACAAATGTTTTGATAAGATATCTAAATCTGAAAACATCTCCATACAGAGTTTTCACAAATGGATACTCGCAGTTTGAATGTTATTAAAAGAAAGTGTTAAAGATAACCTCATACAACTTATCTGAATCAGTCATAACTGCTTTTTGCTATTCATTTGTTTTTCTTTCGTTTTTGTTTTAGTTGTCAGTAGTGACAATAACTGACAAGATTTCTATTCCTATGGAAACCATATCACATATTTGTCTATCCGTCCCACAGCCTTGAAGACAATTTTATTTTATTTTTTGACAATGGATGACAGTTTAAGCATATTTCTTCGTGTCTTTCTAAAAAACATGTTTGTCTAACTGGACAATGTTCAAACATTATAAACACCATTGTGGGACAGCCTATCACAACCAAATAAATGATAACATGTAGCAACCATAATCATGAGAAATGAGGTTAAAAAAAAAGTCTGGTTAAAATAAGTTTTCTGTAATCTTTTGTTAATAATATTCAAACACTATAAATCATATACAGAACAACAGTAATTACTTTTCATGGTTCTTGGAATAAGTAACTATAAATAAGGATGTTGGATTATCAACAGATAATGACTTGCTATTTCATGACAATTGTTATACTAGGAGATGGTGACAAAGTCAGATTTCATGTACCACAGGACTGGGTTTGATAATGATGGGCAGTTTCGGAATCGAACCTTTGGGTTAAATAAATCTTTTATTATTAAGAGTTGTACAAAGCTTATGAAAGCTTGTTCCCCATCCCAATGAAGGTTCGGGTATCCATTTTATACATACAGTGTGGGTGTCACAATGGATCTTGTTACAATTGTTTTCCACAGTTGGTTTCAAACTCTCGTCAGCAGGCAGTTAGCAGCCCAATGCCTTGACCACTGTGTTAGGCCACATTCTTTCTACCTTCCCTCTCTCATATAAAAATCATAATAATTAATATTTAAATTTTAAAGAAAAACGCAATACTTTTGACCAGTGTATGAAGAGAAACTTTCATGAGTTAAATCAATTTTACTGATTTCAATAAAAAAATAAAATAAATAAAAATAAGAACATGATAACCAAGTGATAGTATTGTTCACTGACTAATACTTGTATCAAGATGCAATACACTTGGCATCATACTAAGCCACAAGATTACTAAACTTATTGAAGGATTACAATCGCAATTTATAGAGGCAGTGTAATAAGTGGAATTTCCATTAAACATAATCGTTTTTTGTTAAAGAAATCCGATCAGTTTACAATTGAACCTCAGCTATATATCAAACAAAATAAAAAAATTAAGATATTTTTGAGGGATTAATTATAAATGGAATTACATAAATTAAGGAATAAATTGTTTCTGATCACCTTCAAAACTTTCAAATGTGTTAATTACTAAAGCCCATCTTTTATACTTGCTTTAACTTCATTTTTTATCAAGAATTTATTTTTCCATAATTTTTTTATATATTCTATTAAATCAAACTATTATTTTAACACTCTGAATCAGGTTCAAACAAGAAAGAAAAAGTTAAACAAGGTCTAGGAATTTATATTGATTTGTAAAATGATTTCAATGTTTAAATGATGTGACAGAGGTCACACTTTATTTTACTTGACTAATTCTATTTTCAGTAGAAAGTAACTAATTCATTTTGATGACCTTGATTATTCAGACAATAGAATAGCTTATCAATTTCTTATCGAAAGATGGATTCTACTTGTAGTAGTGTTATTTTGATTTACTTGATAATAAGAAACTTATATAAATGATGCAGGATACTCACACAAGCTGTACAGCTTTATATTGAGGCTGTGGTGATTCCTGAGTTGGCGTAGGTGGTTTCTTAAGCGCCGATTTCAAAGGCATTGCATGGAACTTAGGCTCCTTGGCTGGAATTTCTTCAACCCTGGATGTGTCGATGGTAGGGTTGGGTGCGGGTAATCTCAAAGATTCTGTGTCGCAGTCGGAGCCCTCCTCTTCGGAATAGTCACCAGGGTCCGTACAGTCTGAAAGGAGAACATAATGTAATTTGACATTTTAAATTATAGTTATTTTTCATATAATATAATCAAATAAATCAATAAAGGATACAGAATAAAAAAAAATTATAAATAATCTCATGTACAAAAGAAAGATGCCTACTTATTAAATTACTTATTTATCACTGTATCTCAAAAATGATGATTCCTACAAAGCTGAAATTTTAATTGTCAATTTCCCTTAAGTGTAGATTTGCAATAACTTTGAGGAAGGATAACAGGAGAGTTTGAAAAAATTCTTTCTCATCATCATAATCCTAATCCCTAATCCTTCTTGAGTCTTGAGCAGGTGTTTAGCTCTCTAACTAACTATCTTCTCCC